CGCATATCAGTTAGGAGGAGGATTCTTCAGCCATATCCGGCGCTTCTGCCACTCACCAACCACAACCCACTTCTTGACGGAAAGCAAAGAGGAGGCTACTAGTGAGGGTGCCATTTTTTTGCGATTAGGGAAGCGGATCCTGAGATGCCTTGGAGAAATGAAATAAAAGAGAATATTCTATGAAATGATTCTTAACGATAGGCAGCTTGGAAGTATGCGATGATCTTGATTATCCGTTGTCATGAAGACGCTGGTAGAGCTATGCTCGCTAAATATAAGTAATGGCGACATGCCGCACTGTATCGCAGTCATCTTGTAGCAGGCATCATCCGCTTCTCGGTGCAAAGGGACTATGTTTCCTGAAGGCGGAGACCAAAACAGACCGAAGAGAGAAAGCACGCTCGGAGGCCGATGAGGCTGGCTTCTCTCGGGGCCGCATGTAAAGCGAGAAGGCCAAGATGCCGTTTCCTGCAGGGCTTTCATAGAGCGCGAGCGGGGCCATACAGTTTGGGAGAAGGGTAGTACAATGTTGTGGTTTGGGTATAGATGGTCAGCCAGCTGCATGATTAGCGTGTCAGGAGATTGAAAGCGTAGAGGCCTTGGCCTGTAAGAGGGGGACGGTGTAGCCAATCAGGTACCTGCCGAGTGGCCAGACAGTCACGTGATGGTGTCAAGCGAAAGGGTCAGCCAGCTGCATTAGCGTGGCAGGGGTGTTGTCTCATGGCATCTCGTCGTCGGACGTTGCTGAATAATGAGTGGATGCTCTTGAACGCCCATTAGAGAACTGCATCGACGCATACGATCGAGCAATTCACTCTCGGGCCCGCGCTGGACTTCTCTTGGCTGCCTAATCCCCAAGTCTGTGCCGCACCGGTTCCTGAGCTGGAATCTTCTAGCCAAGGCTGTTGTGCTCACGCTGTTGGCTGACATTTCTTGATTGCTTTTCATCTTCTTACTATGTATACTGTTTTCGAGGCAATCCCCCTTTATTTCTGGCAATGGTCACCCAGCTGCATATCTTGGCACTCACTCGTCGTGCTACCTCAATCATGTTATTTCACAAACATCAACTGGGCCGTGCCTGTTCGTTTCACACCCAACATACAAAAGCCATTCCCTTCCCAGCTACAGCATTAAAACTTCATTTCAACGTCCCAAAACTCTACAATATTTTGTGTCATCAACCCTCTTCCAATTCTACCAACTGTGCAACTTACCGACACTCCACCCCTCATACGGGACAAACACCCAAGTAGCAAGCACGACAAACGACTTCACTTACAAGCCTGTTTGTGTAGCGGCGGGCAGTAGCCGCCTCTAATAACACATCCGCAAAGACACTGCACTCAAACAAGGGAAAGACATCAACTCATTTTTGACCATGTCGGCATCATCGGAAAAATACGCTTCCTCCTCTAGTCCCGATACATCGCCTTCGCCAAAACGTTCGCTTGACAACGGCGCTCAAATGAACGACACACAACCAAGACGCTCTCAGAGCCCAGTCCTTGATGAGAAGCCGCCAGAGACGACCGAGCCAACAGGGGACGGAGGACCAGAGTATGAGCGTAAGATCCATGGCATCAAGTGGGTCATGACCGTCGCAGCTGTTCTGTCCTGCGTCTTCCTCTTCGCTCTCGACACCACCGTCGTGGCAGACATACAGCCCAACGTCATTGCATCGCTAGGAGAATTTGAAAAGTATCCATGGCTTGCCACGGCCTACGCCCTTCCAGCCACTGCATTTGCCCTCATTCAGTCCAAGATGTACGGGGCTTTCGACATCAAATGGCTCTACTTTGGCTATGTCGTCTGCTTCGAGGTCGGCAGTGCCATTTCTGCGGCTTCTCCAACCATGAACTCTCTCATCGTTGGGCGCATGATTGCTGGCATTGGCGGCTGCGGTATCTACGTTGGCTCCTTGACCTTCTTCAGTGTTGTGACTACGCCCAAGGAGCGTCCTCTCTACATTTCTCTCATCTCTCCAACTTGGGGAATTGGAACCGCCCTGGGCCCGATTGTAAGTATTTACCTCCACTTTGCCTGCTATGTATCGCATGTGCACGACTGACTTTACATGTGCAAAGGTCGGCGGAGGATTTGCCGAAAGTAGCCTCGGATGGCGATGGGGCTTCTACATCAACCTCTTGATTTTCGCACTGGCTGGACCTGTCCTAGTCTTCATCTTGCCTTCCATCGATTTCGCAAAGGGCCAGTCCGCCAAGCAGAGGCTAGACCAGGTTGACTGGCTTGGGTTGCTTGTATGGACAGGCTGGTGCGTTTCCTTCTTCATGGCCGTCACGTATGGCGGTACCCTTTTCGAATGGGACTCTTACAGCATGATCATCCTTTGGGTTTTTGTCGGCGTTCTCGCAATCGCCTTCTATCTGACCCACAGGTTCCACCCCTTCATCGACGTGGAAAACCGACTCTACCCTAGCCACCTACTGCGAAATTTCAAGCTGGGAATTCTGCAGTTCGCCACTTTCGCTGCCGCCGCAGCTGTGTACATCCCCATCTACTACATCCCGCTCTTCTTCCAGTTTGCCAAAGGCGAGTCTCCCGTGGACGCTGCTGTCAAACTCCTTCCTTTCGTCTTCATGGTTTCCTTCATGGCCATCATGAACGGTTTCTTCATGTCCAAATGGGGCTACTACATGCCTTGGTTCCTCGTTGGCTCGCTTCTGGCCGTTGTTGGAGGTGCACTCATGTACACGGTCGACGTTGGCACAAGCGTCTCGGCAATCTATGGATACAGCGTCGTGTTAGGTATTGGCGGAGGTTGCTACATGATCGCCGCCTTTGGTTGCATCTCGGACGTTGTTGAGCCCAAGGACGTTTTCAACGCCATCGGTGTCATCAGCCTCATGCAGTGTATTGGAATTACCCTCTTCCCCGCTCTCAGCGGCAACGTATTCCAGAATGTGGGCCGCCAGGTCATCCTTCCGTACCTGCCATCCGACTTCACTGGCAACCCACGTGCCATTCTTGCCGGCTCGAGCAGCCCAGAGTGGAAGAGTTTCTCCCCAGATGTGCAATTTCGCCTTGCGAACGTCATCAACGATGCAATGAGCAACGTTTACATTATGACCATTATTGCCAGTGGTATCACAGCTCTTCTCTCGCCATTCCTTGGTGTAAGTACTCTCCGTGGATATTGAATCGAGCACAGTTTGCTGACATATCTCTAGTTCCGCAAAGTGGGTGGTGGTCAAGTCGCAGCCATGGCTTGAGACGACTAAAGAGGATGCATTGGCAGTCAAATCTGGGCGACGAGGCCCACATGAGAATGGAATTGAGCCGGTTGGTGGGCGAAAAGGCATAGTTTCACTTTTTTCCGCTTGATTTGAACAATCGTTTGATGTTTTCTACATGTGAACTTAGCGTTTTGTATGGGGTTTCCACAGCCTTTCAATTCGATAATTACTGCCGCTTACGGCATATGGTTAGTCAGAGATGTGAGAAAAAGGATTCAGTTGAGAGTATTTAAATAAATGGTGACAATTCAGATATATAGTATACGCTATATGATTCAGTATAGTTATGCACATCTTGACTAAAAATTTACAAATCCAGTACCTTCGATTCTCAGTGGCATCCTATCAGGGCACTTTACTATACAAGCGAGAGGGATTTCCCTATCATCCCTATCGAGGAAAAAACTTTCTACAATTTTTCCATGACTCAAGCTAAGGTTTCTAGAATTCTGGTACGAGAGACGTTTCCTTGAAATTTCTCCCGTTTGACTGTTGCACATCCAGAATCCACCGACTGAATCTAAATCACTCCAAAAACCAACCCAGGCAGTATATTGACATCAATTCATAACAGAATTAGGCCTTGTTGCCGGGTATTTCATGTAAGGGCCTCCTATCCATTCTCGGGGATGTCAAACTTAGATATTTAATGAATTCGACGTCCGAATAAGCTGCACTATCTGAGATTTCTATGACTCAGAAAACTTTCTATGCTTCTGAATTACATAAAATACAAGCTATTTGACCTTCATTGAGATTTCTTAAGAAACAGCTCGGCAATCAAAGCCGTGGCCACTGAACAGCAGCCCTACATGTTACGTTCTTCCCATTGACAAATGTCAGCGACAGCGATAGTCTCTATGTATTGCTAATACAATATCAAGACGGAGAAGAACCACGACCTTTGTGAATATATGCCAATGGGAAAGCTTGATCCCAGGTTACACCGACCACCATCGGGGTCTTGGCATTTCTTGGGATGCATGCAGAGGGGCAGCGGGTGATGCAGCAGGAATCGGAGCAATGACGTTATGCAACATTTGCAAATTGCCTCACTCCCAGAAAGATTTTAAGTTTCAAATACATCAAGTGCATGCACCCCTATCGGGGTGGAGGTATTCGGGCAGAGTAGTCGGATCCCGTGGGCATGGTCTCCCATTGCTGCAACAACCATCTCGGATTACTGAAGCTACCCATCTCTGCACGAACAAAACCTTGGCTCGAGCGACCCCCAAGTCTCCGATGGAGTGATATTTGGAATATTACTAACTGAGCGTCGGAAATCGGCGGCTGCAGTGTCACGCAGTGACGGTCAGGGCGGGTACGGGTACTGGAGCGGAAAGTTTCTCGTGCTATGGCCATGTAGTTGTTGTATATGAGCCCCGACGATACTTAAAATATTCTTTTTCACTTTGAAAGTACGCAATCCTGTACTCGAAGATCTTCTTCTGTTTCACTGTCAATATCAAGTTTGGTATCCCAAGTCCTTCACTTTCTCCCATTCCGTCGCCATGACCAAATCAGAAGACGCCCAGAACCCCAGTGAGACCAGCTCTGCATCCGAGACAAAAGAGCACATGAATAAATATGCACTTGCATATCGAAAGGTATATCGCTTCTTCGGATTCAACAAAGGATACAACTTCCCATTATGTAAGTCTGCCCTCTGAACCCTTCCCCCTTTGTCCAAGAAAGAACAAAAAAACCAACAATGCCATCCCAGGGGTGATCTTCGCAGGCGGTATGCTCGGTTTCTCCCTCTCCCGCCTCGGCGACCTCGACTACGACGGCTACTTCAAGCGCAACTTCGCCCTCGTCCCAGGGTACTGGTACTACTTCCGCAGCGGCTCCTACCGCTACGGCATGCTGATCCACCTCGCTGCCATCCTCCCGGCAGGAATCCTCATGACCTTTCAATTCACGCCGATTATCCGCCACAAATGGATCCTGTTCCACCGCCTCAACGGCTACGTCGTCTTGCTGCTGTGTCTGATCAGCAACGCCGCCGCGTTCGTCGTCATCCGGCACAAGCAAGGCGGCAACCGGATTAGCAGCCACGCCGTCGAGACGCTCATGGGCATCATCACCACGATTGGGATTTTCATGGGCTGGTGGAATATCCGCCGGAAGCAGATTGAGCAGCACCGTGCGTGGATGCTCAGGACCATGTTTTACATGGCTGTTACAATTACGGCGCGCGTCATTAATTTTGCGGCTAGAGATATTATCACCAGGATTGGAAATTACTGGGCTGTGTGGATGTGTGATGAGATTAACTTCCTGTATATGAATTTGGGCATGGAGTTTCCAAAGGAGACTTATCCGGAGTGTATTTTGCCGGATGGATCGCTGAATCGCTGGAAGAGGGTTGCGGTTGCGGCGAGGGAGGATCCGAATCACTTGGAGCAGTTTGGTGCGAGTGCTGTGGCGCCCTTTAGCACTATGGTGAGTTTGACCCGGGATACTGCTGGTGATACTTGAGATATGAGCTTCATGCCACTGACGGATTTTGATTTAGCTGTGGATTTGCCTGTTTCTTCACATGATCGGCGTGGAGTTGTATTTGCGAATGACGCCCAGAGAAACAGAAAGACTTCGTCAAATCAGTTACGAGAAGCAGGTCGAGGCTGGTTATCGTAACCCTGGCAGTGCGGGACTGGTCTTGGATCGATGGGCTGACGGAGATAAGTGGACTCCCAACAAGTAAGAAAGATGTGCTGGTAAGACGTATTGGTGAGATGGACAACGCTTTAGTTTGTGGCAGGAAAGAGGTAGTATTGAGAAGAGGGACCCTTTGATGGGATTGTAAAGCAGTGTTATTGGAAAGCGGTTGGTAAGATTGATGGGTTGGAGTCTATGGGAGATTGAAACTATGTACTGTTGCGCGAACCTATACCTAAGAGCCTCCATCATCTAGGTGATGGCTTCTTCATGTGCTGAGAACTGCATTATCTGATATATGCGACTGTATAGATCAGGTAGTAACTTTATTGCATTACTACGTTACCTTAGCCTCACGAGTTGACTCCAAAAGATGTTAACTGTGCTTTTGATATCTCGCCTTTAGGTTTGCTCGAAGCGGACAATAAGTCTTTTGGCGAAAAACAAAAACAAAACAAAATCAAAGGCAGAATATTATATGGCTATTTGCTGCTTACAAATTTCGAATTCGTAGTCTTAGTCGCCGCTTGAAGATAGTCTTATAAAAGTACGTTCGTATCTCAGTATCATTTTTCTTTTCTAATTTATAACCATGACATATCAAGAAAAGAAAAAGATATTTTTAATTGTTCCGTATCAGGTGCTGAGGTAGTTATCCAAAGTAGGATGGAGATAGGTGGTTTACTAAAAACTGCAGTACTCGTGAAAGGTTTAAGCTAACTGAGGCCAGTTGGTGTTAGAACAGAGAAAACCTGACAAAGCATCAGAATTCAATGTAAAGAAGAGATTTTCCCTATTCATAGATGCGTATTATTCTCAGTGAACCACTTTTTAATCAATAGAAAAAAGGATTTCAATCAAGAGAACATGCTTATCTGCACAATTCGGTCACGATTCGGATACCGGAAACTTTAATTTCGCACAGCTGGACCTGAACATAACTTGCTGGCCGCAAGATTTATCCCAGGTAATCTTCCAAAGAAAAATCTCATTCATTTACTAAAACATATTTTCTAAGAAATACCTGAAAAAGGGAGGAGATTGTTTTACAAATCATGTCGAGTTCATCTCAGAAAGCAAGAAATCATAGGGATCGAAAGGAAGTGCGTGGTAAAAAATTCGAAAGGAAAGATAGAATGTAAAATATCAAAATTGCAGTAATCTAGATCTCTACTATGTAATAAAAACATCCGTTCTAGAACATGCGCGTGGGTAGCTCCCCAAGTTTCAAACCACTAACCAACTGACTGTTCTTGAAGGAACTAATACCGTTCATGAGGTTCTTGGTCCCGCTATTATCCTTGCTCATTGGCTTCGTATTCTTAGGAGCACCATTCTTGTCGGCTTCAGTAGCCTCCTTGGTAGCCTCCTTGTCATTTTCGAGGAGATCATACGCAAGGCGTGCTGCACTCGGAAGCCTGTTCTTATCACCACTGGCTTCAATGTCCATCATTTCCTGGAGCCAGGTAGTGATGGAGTCGATCAACGCCTTGACTTCTTCCTTGGTGTTGTGCGCATGAAGGAACAAGCGCACTCGGTCCTCGCCCTTGGGAACAATGGGGAACATGATGTTGCACCCATTAAACCCGTCTCTAGTGAGATGGAAGGCAAGGTAAAGCGCAGCCTTGTTACGAAGAACCCAGAGAGGCACGATGTGGGTGATTGGTACTTCGTGCCAGGCACCATCCTCATGAACTGGCATATCGACCAAACCCTTCTTCTTGGCCTTCTTGTAAATGGGATGCGAGGTCAGTGTATCCAAGTAGAATATAGTGAGGTCGTGAAGATACTCGCGAGCCTGAAGGAAGTTAGTCGAAAACACCACGAGACAATCATGACGATGTGTACTTTACCTCTTGGAACTTCTGGGACCGCATGAGTCGAATTCCGGCACGGCAAGACGCTACCAGAGTGAACGGAGGTGCAACCGAGCAAATGAACATTTTAGCTTGAGTGGTGAGGAGTGCGCGAATCGTATTGTTGGATAAGATGGCCGCTTGGATAGATGTTAGCATCAGTCATGGAGTTAGGATCTCGAGTGTACCTACCGCCACATCCGCCGAGAGCTTTGGTGAACGTGACCATGGTGACAGCAACTTCATCGGTGAGGCCTTGTTCTCTCACAAAACCAGTTCCTTCGGGGCCACAAACACCGAAGCTGTGGGCCTCATCCACGATGAATTGGGCGTTGCCATGAGGGAAAATGTCCTTGGCGGCTTCAATGAGCTCCTTCAGAGGGCAAATATCGCCATCCATGCTATAGTAGCTCTCGACACCGACAATGACACAACGCTTGCCGGATTTGACCAGAGGGTTTGACTCTTTGACGCCTTCCATGACTTCAATAAAGTGATCCACATCATTGTGGCGGAAGGGTCTCTGATCTAATGCCAAAGCGATTTTCATGCCGGAAAGAGCCGTAGCGTGCATCAACTCGTCGTAGACAATCACGTCGCCAGATCGCGGGACCGTCGAGAAGATAGCCTGGTTGGCGGTGTATCCAGAGTGAACTACCAGCGCCGACTCGACACCCATCAGTTCTGCCAACTCCTTCTCGAAGTTATCTTGGTACGTCGTAGTTCCGTCCAACAACCGCGAGCCACCTGCACCCATGTAGAAGTTCGGGTTGGCGTCAAGTTCTTTGAGGAACTCTTCCCTCAGTGCGCCAGTATGGGTCATCCCGAGAACATCGCAAGTGGAGAAATCAACGGTGTGACTCGGGAGATGGATGGGGAATGATAGACCCTGCTTTCGGGGGATGTCGAGCTCCTCCTCAATGTTGCGGTAGAAGACTGAGCTGTTTTTCATGCTCGGTGCCTTGACTTTCTGTGCAGCAGCCCATTCTTCTCTCCACTGGGCCCCGAGATCTTTCGTGCCCTCAGCGGTCTTGGCTACCATGATGGCGAGGGAGTAGATTAGTGAGCTGTCGAAGTTGAAGAAGGATCTGGTGGATGATGTCTTTGACGTGGAAGTAGCCAAGTTCTTCGCAAAGAGTGGCAGGATTCTGTGTTGTGATCATTGAGTATTATTGGGGATGTAAATTTATGTTTATATATTGCTGTATGTCCAGGCAAATGCAAAAGCAGTTACCATTTAGGGAAAGAGACTCCTCTATCCGTTTCACGGCCCTTCTACTCAACATGAACGGAAAGTTCCTATAGACCTCATGGCCGATGGTGCACGAGAAACGCGTGCATGAGACCCTGATCCGGGACGATCCCTCTCGGGCACCAAACGATTTCGAAATATGCTGGATGCCGAAATTTTCTACCGTGTCCGAGAGTCGCAAAATCTCAGTGAAGTGTCGGCCTAGCGAAACACTAACAAGTTTTGTGTCACATCTTGAACAACCACCTAGAAATCAGCAGAATCTCATCTGAGCGCCATATCTTACTATAATGAAAACCCCGATATTCCGGTATGAGATTAACGTAGGCAAAGGCTTATTTTTTTGAAAGTGAGAACCTTCTAGAGTAACGAATATTCTTGACATGGGCCAAGCTAGTCACGTGATTTACGGGATCTTGGCGTGATGCATCGGAGTGGGTTTTGTGCTCAGCCGCAACCCTTACAACGGTCAGCCAAGCGCATGATGCAGCCCGTTCAGTCCAATCGGGGGTGGCAGAAAATGAGCTCCTTCGGGGCGCACCGCTTGATGTTTCTTTCAAGTTTGACTACAAGCCCTGCTGCGTACGCACCGATTGTTGTGCCTGAATCGTGATTCGGAGTGCTAGTGACGTTTGCTACCAAGCACCGATAGAGTCTCGTATGAGGTCTAGAATCCGAGATTCAACAACCGGGGAGAATGGATGCTGCTTGCTCAGTTCCGTTGGCGTTCACTCCGACAACCGATGTTGCCTTCATGGCTTCATGGTCCGAAGATGTCGAGGAGTTGTAGCAGGATAATTAGAATGCAAAGTCCCTCAGGTTAGAAGTCAGGCAATTCGCGATCATCATCACGCTTTTTCAGCAAACAATCTCTCCCCAGAAGTCATCCACAGGGAATCTCGTGACATCTTTCCGTCAAGAACCTTTATCCAGCAGTAAAAATGTCGATCACAAACGGAACGAACGTCACCAATGGCAACGGTGTCTCTCACACCAATGGACACACTAATGGTACTAATGGTCATGTTAGCGGTACCAATGGCACCAACGGCTATGTCAATGGTGGTTCGCACGAGAACGGTATCAATGGTGGATCGCATGCCAACGGCACGAATGGTTTGCACGTGGATGATGCCGACAAGAAGACCATCCCCATCGCAATCTGCGGTATGGGTCTCCGACTCCCCGGAGGAAACACCACTCCTCAGGAATTCTGGGAGTTCCTCATCAACAAAGGTGACGGAAGGGTCCGAGTTCCAATGTCACGCTACAACGTGTCAGCCTACCACGAAACTACAAAGCGGCCTACGACTGTAGCCACTGAATACGGATACTTCCTTGACGAAGATGTCAAGCTCGGTGCCATGGATACCAGTCGGTTTTCCATGAGCCGTGCCGATGTTGAGTTTTCTGACCCTCAGCAGCGACACCTATTGGAAGTGGTTATGGAGGCACTTGAGGACGCTGGAGAAGCCAACTTTAGAGTATGCTCATTCGAGTTCATCTCAGAAATATATACACTCCTGCTAACATTAATTCTAGGGCAAAAAGATTGGTTGCTACTTCGGCAACATGTGCGAAGACTGGGGAGAGATGATGAACCGCGACCCGCTCTGGCACGGTGCGAATAAGATTGATGGTTACCAAGATTGGATGCTTGCGAACCGTATCTCTTATGAATTCGGATTGACTGGACCAAGGTTTGCCCCACCACCCCAGTTTCGTGTGTATGAAGCGACTGACTTTGTATAGCATGACTATCCGCACTGCTTGCTCATCTGCACTGACAGGCCTTGCTGAGGCATTTGCCGCCATCCAACGAGGAATTTGTGAGGGCGCCATTGTAGCTGGTAGTAATCTAATCCTGGCACCTGGAATGACCCAGCAGATGACTGAGAAGGGCATTCTGTCACCTAACGGCTCTTGCAAGACTTTCTCTGCTGACGCGGACGGATATGCACGTGGTGAAGCATTCACTGCAGTATTCGTAAAGCCCCTAGATGCTGCTATTCGCGATGGAAACCCAATCCGCGCGGTTATTAGAGCAGCAGTGGCAAACTCAGATGGCAAGACGCAGGGTATCACGCAGCCCAATGGATATGCGCACGAGGCTATGATTCGACTGGCATACAAGCAGGCTGGTATTACGGTAAGCAAATATCCTCAAGTAACTCTTCTTGCCATCACATCACGGGCATTAGTCCTGGGTTGCTGCTGGCAAGGTTATAATAACACCAGGAGAGCGTGACTAACAATTATTTCTTAGGACTTCTCCAAGACGGCATACTTCGAATGCCATGGAACTGGCACAAGCGTCGGTGATCCTATCGAAACCGGAGCAGTTGCCAGGGTGTTCGGGGAAAATGGTATTCACATCACCTCTGTGAAGCCCAATGTCGGTCACACCGAGGGTGCCTCTGGTCTCGTCTCGTTGATCAAGGCTGTCATGTCCCTGGAGAACCGCACAATCCCACCAAATATCAAGTTCACTACTCCAAACCCGAAGATTCCTTTCAAGGAAGCCAAACTCACTGTTCCCGTTGAGCCAACACCTTTCCCCGAGGATCGCTGTGAGCGTGTCAGTGTAAACAGTTTCGGTCTTGGTGGGTCGAACGCGCATGTCATTGTCGACTCAGCAAGGAGCTTCAACATTCCCAAGAGGGCGATCCGAGACGCAGACTTGGAGCCAGATGCCCAGTTGCTTCTGTTCTCAGCAGGTTCTGCTCCTTCACTGAAGTCGACTATCACTCGCTACGAAGACTGGGTCCAGAAGCACGCAGATGAACCCGAAAAGATTAGCGACCTTAGCTACACTCTCGCTAACAGGCGTGAGCACCTCGCTCATCGGTCCTTCAAGGTTGTGGGTGCTAATGAGACTCCAGCTTCTCAGGGTAGGAAGATTCCTGGTCAGCCCGTCAACCTCGTCATGGTTTTCACGGGCCAGGGAGCACAATGGCCCCGCATGGGTCGTGAGTTACTCCTGCGCGATGATTCAGTCTTCCAAAAGACTATCAGGGCTCTAGACAAGCACCTTCGATCCATCTCCCAACCTCCGGAGTGGACGATCGAACAAGAGCTCTTGAAGTCTGCCAAGATTTCGCAAGTCCAGAAGGCAGAGCTCTCGCAGCCACTGTGTACTGCCGTTCAGATTGGCTTGGTTGATCTCTTGGCAAGCGTCGGAGTCGAGCCCACAGCAGTCGTTGGTCATAGCAGCGGTGAACTCGCTGGTGCGTACGCGGCTGGGGCGCTTACTGCAAAGGAAGCCATCATTGGAGCCTACCAACGTGGACAGGCTGCCAAGCTCCAGAAAAGAAAGGGTGCCATGGCAGCTATAGGTCTCGGCTGGGACGAAGTCGAGCCGTATTTGAATGCACCTCATGTTGTCGTTGCGTGCGAGAACTCCCCTCAGAGCGTCACCCTCTCGGGTGATGCCGAAGCGGTACAAGACACTGTCAACCGTATCAAAGAAGCACACCCAGACATCACAGCTCGACTTCTCAAGGTAGAAAAGGCGTACCACTCATACCACATGCGTGAGATTGGAGCCGAATACTATGCTATGATTGAGCCGCACCTCGTGGGCAAGCAGGCCACCAAGCCCTTCTTCTCTAGCGTCACTGGTACGGGAGAGCCAGAGCAACGCAAGCTGGATGCCAAATATTGGCAGCAGAACCTTGAATCCCCTGTGCTCTTCAGTCCTGCTGTGGCAGGTCTGCTGAAGCATGTCAAGAACCCAGCCTTCCTTGAAGTCGGTCCACATGGAGCTCTGGCCGGTCCAGCACGGCAGATCTTTGCCAAGGCATCCGCTTCTCCTCCATACCTTTCTGTAATGACTCGTAACGAAGATTGCGTACAATCGTATTTGACAACTCTCGGCAAGCTCTTTGAGCTAAATGTCCCACTCAACTATGAGGCCATTGCCCCCGCCGGAGAGACGCTTCCAGATCTTCCCCGTTACCCATGGCACTACGATGGCGAGTTCTGGGTTGAGTCTCGCATGTCCAAAGAATGGAGATTCCCCAAGTTCCCGAGGCACCCGCTCCTAGGACGTCAACAACTGGAGAGCACCAGCCTTGAGCCCAGCTGGAGGAACGTCATTAACATTGAAGACGCTCCTTGGCTACGAGACCACCAAGTTCAGAGTGCTATCGTATTCCCTGCCGCAGGCTACTTTGCAATGGCGGGCGAAGCGATTCGACAACTCACCGGCATCGAAGAGGCTTATAGCCTTTCACACATGGTGCTCAGCCAGGCCCTGATGTTGCAGGAGGGTGTCGATACCGAGATCGTTACGAATCTCCGCCCTATCCGTCTGACTGATACTGCAGACAGCCAGTGGTGGGAGTTTTCAATTGCCTCCTACAATGGCAACGCATGGGTGAAGCACTGTGTCGGCCGAGTGTCGGCTGTTCCATCTACTGGGCCAAAGCAGGCTGAAGAGGTCAAGTCGCTTCCTCGGAAGTTAGATACCTTCAAGGTCTTTAACACTCTCGCAAAATCTGGAATGCAATACGGTCCAGCATTCCAGCGTCTGGACCAGATCAGCGCAGATCCTCTAGAGACCAGGGCTGTGAGCAGTCTTACTAAGAACTTGAACGGAGACGAGAACAAGTATCACCTTCACCCGACAGTCATCGATGCCGCTCTCCAAATGGGACTTGTCGCTGCTAGATCTGGCAAGCTTGATGCAAGCAACTGCGCCGCAATGCCTACGTTGATCGAGGAGGTGACAATCTTCCGTAGCAACCCGGAGGCAGGAATGTTTGCATCAGCATTAACACATGTTCAGCCTGGCAGTGGTGAAATCCGAGGTCGCTTCCAAGTCCTTGCAGACGGCAAGGCAGTAATGGACATGCCCAAGGCAGCATTCACACCTATCGAACAGGGCGACAAGGATGTCATGCACAAGCTTCCCATCAGCGCACGTCTCAGCTGGCAGCCTCACGTGGACTTTGTCGATGTAGCTTCTCTCATCGAACCCAAGGTTGACGGTGCAAAGTTGGCACCTCCCTTCCAAGAGCTGACCGAGCTCTGCTACGTCTTTTTCCAGAGATGCATCGACGATGTCAAATTGGTAGAGAACCCCACAATCCAGCGGTTCGCAGCCTGGGTTCGCCGTCAATACCAGACACTGGATAAGAACCATCCAGCACAAGCCCTCAGTATGGAAAAAATTGTTGAAAGAGCCCATGCTATCGGAGAGAGCTTGGCTGGATCACCGCTTGCTCCCGCCGCTGACTGTATCTTGGAAGTCGGTGGTAACATTGTTGAGTTGTTGACCGGTGAAAAGACCATCTTCGAAGTCCTCTCACATGATGATCTACTCACAAAACTCTACAATGCAGCCAACACTACTGACATTTCGGCTTTCCTCAGGAGCCTGGCTCACGCAAGGCCTAGTCTTCGTGTTTTAGAACTTGGTGGCAGCACGGGAGAATTGGCCTCGTCTATCATCAAGGATCTGACTCTTCCCGATGGTGTCTCCCTCTACTACAGATACACGTTAACCGATCCTCAGTCAAGCACTCTCGCAGGACTCAAGAAGCAGTTCCAGGATGTCGAAAACATGGACTTCCGCACATTGGACATCTCCAAGGATCCGGTCCAGCAGGGATTCAAGGAAGATGACAAGTATGATCTCATCGTCGCAACAAACTGTGTCCACGCCACTCCAAGCTTGTCCGATTCTCTGACCAATATCCGTAAGCTTTTGGCGCCCGGAGGCAGACTCCTCTTACAAGAGCTTAACACACAAATGAAATGGGTCAACTGCGTTCTTGGCTTCCTTGATGAATGGTGGATTGGCGAAAACGACGGGCGCACCGATGAGCCCTACGTTTCTCCAGACCGCTGGGAGGCCGAGTTGAAGCGCGCTGGCTTCGCTGCTCCAGCCATTGCGCTAGACTCGCCAGCTCCATACCAATCACACGCTGTCATCATCGCTAGACCTGCAGAAGATACCAAGCCAGCCGAGAACAAGCATGTAGCTGTGCTAGCATACAAGCACGATGGCAAGAATGTCGACGCTGTCAGCCAGAAGCTCCAGAGTCGAGGCTACAAGGTCAGCAAGTGTAGTTTCGGGGACGAGCTGCCACAAGAGTCTCAATACGTGATCAGTCTCCTTGACGAGGAAAGCCCCTTCTTCGAGGACATTGACCAGCATCGTTTTCAGACTTTGCAAAAGTTCGTTGCCAATATCGGTGACCGGGGCTTCTTCTGGATCACCCGCCCATCTCAAATGCAGTCTGCAGACCCGCGATATGCGACCGTGGTTGGTGCCCTCCGCTCAATTCGCCACGAAGACACCATCGACCTTGCTACCTGCGAGGTTCATGATGTGAGCGCATCACTAGATCTGGTCGCCGATGCTTTCACCCACTTCCAGAAGCAGAAGGAAGATGACTTCTTCAGGCCCAACTACGAGTACGCGATTATCGACGACACTATCAATGTACCTCGCTTCTACCCCTTCACTTTTGGTGACGAGCGTACCTCTAGCCGTGCCGCTAATGATCGCGTATCTCTGGTGGCCGAGAGGCCTGGTCGTCTAAACACTCTAAGTTGGGTGTCGCGTCGAACTGAGCCTCTGGTTGGAGACCAGGTCGACGTCGAGGTCTTCTACTCTGAACTCACGCCCAAGGTACGTTTTCTTTTCCTTTATCATACTCAACCTATGCAACGAACAAAACTTAATTCTTTTGCAGGATGTCGCCGAAGTCATGGGCAACAGCCCTTACCCTGCTGGAGGTCTCGGCAGGAGCGCCGCTGGTAGAATCTGTGCCATCGGACCCAACGTCAAGGGTTTCGCCGTGGGCGACCGTGTAATTGGTCTTGGCTCTGGAAGCTTCTCTTCACATCTGCGTGTATCGGAGAAACTGATTGAGAAGATTCCTGATAGCATCTCGTTCGAAGAAGCAGCAACTCTTCCTGCTGCGTTCGGAATGGCGCTTGCAGCTCTACACAGCACCGGAAACCTACAAATTAGACAGGTAAAACCCCCCTCTCTCCCTGCTTACAAACTGGAGCAAGATGAGAACGATTGAGCTAACATAATCAATAGTCTGTACTCATCCACAACGCCACTGGCAATGTTGGCCTCGCTGCATTGCAACTCGCGAAGGCGTCCAAGGCAGATGTATATGCAACTGTCAAGACTGAGGACGAAGCCAAATACCTCGTTGACAACTTTGGGATTTCAAAGAGACATATCTTCTCATCCACGGATGACAGCTTCTTGCAAGCTGTTCTAGAAGCAACCGGTGGAGAGGGTGTTGACCTAGCTCTGAACTCGCTATCTGGCGACCTCTTGCACGCCACTTGGAAGTGTGTTGCTGAGTTCGGAAAGATGATTGAAATTGGTACTACGGATCTTGTTGGTGCGGGTAAGTTGGAGCTGAACGCCTTCTTGGGAGGTAGAAGCTACACTGGTGTCAACTTGGAGGCTCTGGTAACCAAGAAGCCGGCTGTTGTCAAGGGGTGAGTGAATATACCGACACACCTTTGTGCCATTGATCTTTACAGCTAACGATATGTTTTCTTTGCAGACTTCTCCAGTCTACCGTCAAATACTTGAAAGAAGGCAGTATTGCTCCACTAAGCTCTCGAGCAGTATATGGGGCTGCGGGCGTCGAGGATGCCATCAAGCACGTACAAGAGGAAAAGGAACTGAGCCAGGTCATTCTTCAGCTCAGGGACGCAAACGGCGAGCTCAAAGTTAACGCCAACACGATTAAGGTCTCTGATGACTTGTTCACGGTTGACAAGTCAGCCTCATACCTGCTCGCGGGAGGTTTGGGTGGTATCGGCACCGTCATTGCCAGGCACCTGGTGGAGAACGGAGCCCGCCGTATCGTCTGCTTCTCACGAAACCCTGGAACACGCCCCGAAGACATTGACACTATCCGGGAGCTTGAGAGTATGGGCTGCGAAGTCGTTCTTGTCAAGGGCGACATAAGCAACAAAGAAGACGTCTTCCGCGCTGTCAAGCAATCGCCCAACCTCAAGGGCATTCTTCACTCACCCATGTTCCTTCAGGATGAGGCATTCCGCAACATGACGCTGGAGCAGTGGATCAAAGCTACCAGTCCCAAGGTCAAGGGTGCTTGGTACCTCCACGAGGCTACAGTCGGAGCCGGTATCGAACTCGACTTCTTCGTGTTCCTGTCATCCATGTCTGGCATCATCGGCCAGCCTGGTCAGGCCAACTATGCAGGCGCCAACACTTTCCTGGACGCCTTTGCATTGTGGCGCAACAGCAACGGGCTTCCAGCATCTTCCATCGACATTGGTGCCGTCGCCGACATGGGCTACGCCGCCCGTGATCAGCAGCTGCTGCAGAGACTCATCAAGAACGGCTACTCGGGCGTCACAGAGTCTGAGATGATCGAGGCATTCCGTGCAGCAGCGTCATACCCCGTGCCCTCGCTCAACATCAACACAAAGAAGAGCCCCTTTGCCCACAAGAACACATTCGCCACTGGTTTCGGCTCCGACAAGTCGTTCAGCCACCCCGAAAACCGCACCTTTTGGAAGAAAGACCTCCGCACGGGCGTGTGGTACAACATCAGCGACGGCGACGAGGCCAAGAGAGGCAGTGGCAACGACGGCTTCAAGACGTTCCTCTCCGCGGCCAAGAACGATGCCGAGGTGCTCGCCAAGCCTGAGACGGCCGCCTACTTTGGCGCTGAGATCGGAAAGCAGCTCATGCGATTGCTGCTGCGACCCGACGACGAGGAGCTCGACATCACGATGCCCGTGCAGCAACTTGGTCTCGACTCGCTCGTCGGCATTGAGCTGCGTAACTGGTGGAGACAGACATTTGGCTTTGACATTAGTGTGCTGCAGCTTTTGGGCTTTGGTACGTTGGAGGAGCTGGGCAAGCAGGCTGCAGGTGGATTGGCCAAGGCTATTGGCGGTAAATGACCAGAGATCGGGGCTGCTTATCTTTCCTTTGTTTGGGTGTTTTGTATTGTTAATCGCAATCCAAGTAGCTCTTCTATGTGTTTTCCATCACTAATTAGAAAAGTGCGTAATACTTCGTTTTTCCCATCATGTACACATGTGAATATGGAATATGGGCATAGATTCAATTCAGCATCTGGGCTTCGAACAAGGAATGCACACTGCTTCCCCCCCACCCCGAGGAACTACCATGTCTAAGAGAAGCGTAGTATGCGGCTAGTCCTGACCTGTCCAGTAGGCGACTGGACCTCAGCCACTCCAGCCCTTTCTATAGTTGTTTCAGGACCAAGAATGTGCCCATTCATCTTGCCTTCGACAGGTTTCTTGTCTCCTGCATGAAGCCTTACAGCTTCATTGCGCGCAGCAAGAATTGCACTGAGGTCCAGTTTGTCTGCAACCACGTTTACCGCAATCCCCTGGTCTTTAACAGTGACATCTGAGATGTCCAACTGAATCTTCAACTCTTCACCTGTTTCTGATATGACGCCGTTGATTGTGAGCCCCTGGTCTGTCACTGTAACGCCTCTTATCGACACATTTGTTCCAGTACGCTGGGACATTGTTTCGCTGAGGGCCTCCTCGCTAAGCTGACAGTATGTCTGGCTCGAAGACTTTAGATGCTGCAGCTCGCTGATTAGCTCCTTCATTGCTTCGTTGGACTCGTTGTCGACCAAGGCTGGAATGGGCTTTTGTTGGGCTTGGTCTACATTGCTGCTTGTGATGTCTGAAGCTATGTTTAGCTGTCGTATCTCCTCCTCAATCTTGGTCTCAATTCCTTTTGTCACAGCAATCTTTTGTCCGATATCCTTTTCATGTTTTTCTAGCTGTTTGGCCTTCTCCGAAATTGTTTCTGGCGTAAACGCTGGATTGGAGAGCCTAGCATGTTTGCATTAGTCAGCTGCACAATGAAATAGTGTCACTAATGGATTTTGCAATACTTACATTACGACAGTCGTGAGCGCAAGTTGAAGTGTGGCTTTATAGTTATCCAGTTGGCCCCTGAAGGCATCGATCTTCCTTCGGCCGAAGATTGCGATCTTTGACCTGTCCACCTTGGAAATCTTATCCTCAGTCGAGTGTCGCATAGTCCGGTTGAGCCATTCACCGAAGCGTTTGCATGCGCCTTCGCAGTTTTCGAGGCTACGCGTAATAATTGGACTGGCTAGTAGACCTTGAGCTGTATTTTGCGCAGCTGATACTGGGCGCTGCTGTAGATGTTGGAGGATCAGCTTAAGAGCTGTCAGCTCGTTCCTGATTTCCTTAACCGTTTCTGGGACGCTTTCGATGTTATCAATTGTTGTAACGACGAACTGGACGCTCTGAATCGTAGCAGTAACAACTGCTAGTACGCTGGCAGTCATGCTGAGGGGATCCGCCATGACGTGAAAGAAATCCGTTCTTCGGCGAGTAACTGGCTTGTAGAATCGACATGAGAACCATTTACTATCACACTTCTTCTAACCTGTTATTATGTACAGCATGGAGACGCCGGGTGTGGTGACAGACTAACGAGGGGCTGAGTCTAACAAGGAGCTGAGACTCACAAGCTGAGACTTAGTGCCTGCATGTGGCGTTATTGAGGTGTACTTGCGGGCTATGCTATACTTCCTTTTTTCTGCCTCATCCTTGCCCAAAAGACAATTGATAGTACTCGATCATATTCTCCGCTCTCGCACGCGCTTCTAAACTGCTGATGTTGTGAAAAATCATACGTGCAATATTGAGTATCTCCGGAGCTCATTCAAAAACAGATGTAGATGATCTGTGAGTGATGTTTTAGTGGCCTTCCAGGTGCAAGCTATAATTGCCCAAGATCGTGGCTGTGAGTAGCATGGCGTTCCCCGCAGTATGCAAGACGGTCTGGCCCATCAACCCAGCCTTATACTGGTTGGAACCGCCTATCTGCATGTGTATATTCCCTGTCAAGCATTAGCTGGCGTTACGGATTGCGAGCACTTTTACTTACATCTAGCGAAGGCTATGTAGACTCTTTGAGAATAGTACGATACATGAGGTGAATATAAAGAAGCTGCAACCGCCACCACGGTGGGCTGCATGTACTTGTACACTACTAACGCATAATTTTTTATTCTCCCAGAATTGCTATTGCACAACATTTCTACCTATACTCTTGTTACTAGCACGTTGATACATCGATCAAAATCCCAATGAGAAGCGACCCAAAAAAGATCGACATTACGGGCGGACAAGTAGGTGGCAATGGGGTGCAAATCAATGCCTATGTACGAGGCGATTTACAGGTACCGAGCATTTCCACCTCAAAAGGTAGTCAATCCGTCTCGCTTCCGACCTGAATAGTTGAAACTGATTTTGCACACTTTCACTTTCTCGGGTGCCTGTAGCTAATACGATTACTCGATAGACGCCGAGAAGGAAAAGGCCGCCGCATGTCGCGACGCGCTGTATCTCACTGATCCTGACATCGACCGCGAGAGTGTGATTAACGCGAAAGGAACGAGAGTCGCGGGTACATGCGAGTGGATCACGCAGAACGAGACCTATCGCGCCTGGCTCAAGAGCGATAGCGACAGAAGCAATGATGCAGATTACAATGGCGATACGCGCCTGCTTTGGATCTCTGGCGGGCCTGGCAAGGGCAAAACGATGATGTCTGTCTTTCTGACGGAGCAATTAAAGGAACATACTGCGCGCATGGAAAACACAGACCTCGTGTTCTTTTTCTGCAGCGCTGAAGATAAGAGGCGCAACACAGCCGCAGGAGTACTGCGTGGGCTAGTACACCAGATCATTGTTAAGCGCCCATTATTAGTCAAGTATGCGCTGCCGTACTTTGAGCCACCAGAGAGGATACAGGAGACGCTGTTGTCTTTTGAGACACTCTGGATTATCTTCAGCAATATCATCACTAACATCGAAATCGGGACTATATTCTGCGTGCTTGATGGACTCGATGAGTGCGAGAACAGCACGCTGAGACTACTGTTACCTGGACTCGTAGGCCTACTTGCACATCCAACGCCATCTTCGACGAATGGTGTCTTCAAGCTAGCAATCCTTAGCCGAGACCTGCCTGGCCTGCAAGGCTGCACGGCAAGGGTGAGGATAGATCCTGATAACGATGAGAGGGTGGCTAGTGATATTCAGCGGTTTGTGTCTGCCCGAGTAGAGGAGCTGTCCAGCATCAAGGGCTTCAACGACAATTTTCGCAAGTTTGTACACGATGCTCTTCTCCAACGCACCGAAGGAACATTTCTATGGGTAGGCTTCGCAATTTACGAGCTGTTGCAGAAACAGACATGTACTGAGATTTTGGAGACGCTTGAGGATCTGCCAAGCGGCCTTCCGGCGATATACAGTCGTATGCTGCTGCGAATCCCAGGAAAACATATAAAACTGAGCCGGGCAATCTTGCAGTGGGTAACTATGGCCGATCGCCCTCTACAGCTGAAAGAGCTAGCCGCGGCAGTAGGCATTCAGGCTAATTCTCAAATGACTGTGGAACATGTAGCACGCGACGCCGTTGATCTGTGCGGACCTTTACTAAAAACACAGGAGCAGATTATCAGCCTCGTCCACCAGTCAGCGAGAGACTACCTGCTCCGCGTAGAGTGCGATAGTAACCCAGTACTTGAGACATTTCGATTCAACTCAGAAATTGCACACCTAGAGCTAGCACAAAAGTGTCTTGACTGTATCTCGCAGAGCGACTTGCGATGCAGAATGATTGACCTAAACTTTGAGCTAGATTCTCAAGTGTCTCCACTCTTGCGATATGCAGCGCTCCACTGGCCTAAGCACGCGAAGAGCTGTCACGCACTGGCAGCAACTCTCTTGAACTTGTCCGAATTTTTCGTCCAAAAAATATCTCTTTTGCACGATCATTGGTGGAGGCACTATTCTCATGAAATAGGAGAATACGAAAATGAGGCCCCACCATTTCTGCATATGGCGTGCTCTCTGGAAATTATACCATGGGTAGAGGCGGAGCTGGCAAAAAAACCCTTGAGACCTTTTCGCTACTTTTCAGTGAACATGAAGGATAGAAGTGGAAAAACGGCGCTACATAGGGCGGTTAATCAAGGGAATGAGGTAATAGTACGGCTACTGTTAGATAAAGGAGCAGACCTCGAGGCGAAGGACAAGATTGGGAGGACGGCGCTAGACAGGGCGGTTGATCTAGGGAATGAGGTAGTAGTGCGGCTGCTATTAGACAGAAGAGCGGCCTTTAAGGCGAAGGGCAAGACTGGGATGATGGTGCTGCACACTGTAGCCCTGACAGGGTACGAAGCGATGTTACAGCTACTGACAGATAAAGGAGCGAACGTCAGCGCGATAGACAAGGATGGGTTCACAGTGTTGAACTGAATAAGCGGAAATAACCATGAGGGTAAAGCAGCTGCTATTAGATGCAGGAGCGGTGTCCAGGGTGGAGCATAGCCCAATTATAATAACAATTCGGCGAACACTTTTGAACAAGAGGAATGTTTAGTGTGAGAAATTATTCACAGTAACAGCGCTCTATCTATCTTTGCTTCTATATTTGACAATATACTATGTATACATTTCTGTTCAATATCATGATACGGATATCTAGATGTTAGTGAGCTTTGGGCCTTTTAGAACATCAGTAGTACCTTTGTAGGAGCTACTTTTAACGAGAACAAAAATATAAAGAGAAGCAGGGAATTCCATAGGCAAAGCGCCTTGTATGATGCATGGCCTAGAAACCGATTGTGTAAGCGAGTGTGTTTACTATTAGTGAGTTGCTATGGTCTAAGATTTACCGACGAGACATTTCCTTCAAAGTTACCCTTCCTCTAAGTCCAGTATCAGAGCACAGATGTAGCTCTAGTTGATACCGAATTCAGCCTCAGCCCTGCACATTCAACTGGCCATTTTTATCTCTAAACTCATTGGTCGTATCTCACGTGATTGAGCGGGGGTGGCTGCCTTATTAGGTTCACCACACTCCCCACCAGGACTATTCACTGTACATACGGTCCACATTCTAGAGCACGATGTCTGCCTGTTCATATCTTGATTGTTATCGCGAACCTTTGCTGCCAGACAGCATTCGCTTACTTCGCCTACTTCCTAATGAAGACGAAACGGCGCCCATTCAATGTGAGCTCTTCCACTACTCTCTGCAGGAATCAGGCAGACGAACGCATCCATATGAAGCTTTATCCTACGTATGGGGTCACTCAGGCAATCCTCAATCTATCTTCATACGCGAACATAGATCCAAAAGTGGACACGGATTCACGAGCGGGAACGACCTACCCGTGACGGAAAACCTTCATGCAGCATTGACACATCTGCGATACCCCCTTTTTGAACGAATCATATGGGTTGACGCTGTTTGCATGAATCAAAAAGATGATCGAGAGAAAGAACAACAGATTCAGTTCATGGCAAAGATCTACGCGTTAGCAAGTCGTGTAATTGTTTGGCTTGGGGAGGCAGCAGAAGACAGCGATGAAGCGCTCCATTGGATACGTGTTGCTGGAGGTATCAGGTCAAAAATTCCTTTAAGCAACGAAACGGTCCAGCAGGCAATTGTTGCGCTACTTCAACGACCGTGGTTTCGACGCGTCTGGGTATGGGAAAACGGTGTTTTTCTTTCAATTTTACAGATTACTAACAGGCTGGCCTAGGTGCTTCAGGAGGTTGCAGCCGCTCGTCATATCCTAATCATGTGTGGAACTACGGAGATTGATGGATACGCCTTCTCCCTGGGCGTAGATCTATTTGAAGGGTTTGACGATGCTCGTGTAGATTTGCAGAGTGCAACCCGTTCGGTAACCTACCTGATAAAGGGATCCATCTTTAGGTCTGACTTCTCAATGAGTAGATCAGGCAGATCTTCTCTGGATATATGCCCGTTAGGGGAACTGGTAGATCTGTATCGTACTCACGAGGCCACACGGCGCCACGACAAGGTATTTGCTTTGATAGGCATGAGCTCTGATGATCTTAGCAAAGCAAAGTTATTACCTGATTACAGCGGCTCATGGGAAGAACTCTTAAAGCGACACCATTCAAGATGGGACAGAGTTTGTGGATGTCATTTTCAAGAATGGAGATATCTGCACTTGGCTACCTCTTCAGACATCAACAACATCCGTCCAAAATGAAGACGTCATTTGCCTTCTCCAAGGCGCTTCAAACCCAACGATCATCAGACAACGTCAAGATCATTTTGAAGTTATAGCTATTGCAGCTAGACCTCTAGAGAGAATTCTAGTGTCAAGTGGACCTACCGACTGGCCAACATTTTTAAAATCAGGAATACCCTTCATCCACGACTTGATACTTATCTGGGACTGGGAAATTTCTTTAGACAGGTTGCAATACCCAGAAAGATGCGATGAGATGTTCGGATGTTCGACGGAGCTTAGAGGCTCTTTGGAGAGGGCAACCAGAATATGGAACGTTGCACGAGTATTAGGAGAAGCAAGAGCGTCCGAAGAGGCGCTAAAAGTACTTCCAGAGGCAATCAAGCGCTATGAGACAGTATTTGGGATACAGCCTTCGCAAGAATTGGAAAATGAATACGATTTGACGCCGCTATCATGGGCCTCAAAGAATGGGCATGATATTGTATTACAACTACTGCTTGCAAAAGATGGCGTCGATCCGAACATGAAAGATGGCCAATCGAATCGAACGTCACTTTCTTGGGCAGCCGAGAAAGGGCATGAGACTGCAGTTAAGCTACTACTCGATACGGGCAAGGTTGAGGTCGACTCAAAGGATGTATGGGGTCGGACACCACTCTGGTGGGCAGCTGAGAGAGGGCACGAGACTGTAGTCAAGCTGCTACTTGAGACAGGCAAGGTCGAGGTGAACTCGAAGGATATGTTTGAGAGGGCCCCACTCTCGAGGGCAGCTGAGACAGGGCACGTTGCTGTAGTCAAGCTACTGCTACTTGAGATGGGCAAAGTCGATGTTGACTCAAAGGATTTCTGGGGTCGGACACCACTCTTTTTGGCAAGGGAGAACAGGCACAAGAACGTAGTCAAGCTACTACTAGACCATAGGCAAAGTCGACATCAACTGGGCGGATGAAGATAATTAAACGCCGCTCTCATTGGCAGCCAAGGCAGGTAATGAGGCCATTGTCAAGTTGCTGCAATCAAGCATGGAATAGCTTATCATTTTCATGACTCTTATGCATAATTGCGAGATACTAACTCTGCAGCCACAGCCTAACATAACTAGCACTACGCACGAAAAGACACTTTCATAGCGCTATTACACTATCTAAGTTGTTTCCTTTGATCTATGCAATGTGTAAAAGGAGGGTTAAAGTATTGCTCCTTGCTATTTGCTACTTTATGTTAGAAGCTCAGCCCTGTGCCACTGGGCTACTACAACCAAAAGGGTACGAATAATCAGCATTCTTGCTGATACTCTGCACAGGATAGTATATACAGTCAGCGCCTGACACCTTACTATGTACCTAGGTTCCTCCTATACTCATTTGTAGAATCCATTTAAAGCTATTTTTACTTAGAAAACTATTGCTTTGACAAAATCTCCAAAGTTGGTGGTTTGATCCCTGTCAGCACTAGTACTTACAGTGAGCAGAACCTAGTCGGCGTAGAAATAATTTTCATATTCCCTATAGCGGCGCAACCTAAAGAAATATACAATACAGTAGCTTTGATTGTCGCTCAACCATATTTGCCTTAGAGATTGTCTCATAGCCACTCCTACCAAATCATATCAAGGTATGATATCACGTGATCAGACTGAATATATAGAAAGATGCGTTTGCGCTAGAGTGCAGGCGGAAGCCGATCTCGCTATCGACCATAATGGGAAGTGAATGTACCATTGAGGTAGAACCTTCGATCGCGTGCTAGATCTTGGCGTGGTCTTATTCAGCTGGCGTGCATTGAATTCCGTCAGCCAAGGCAGCCAAGTACTCTGATCACGTGAGATTGGTTACATCCAGCTGGAACGTGAAGTTCGGGCTACAACCACTTCGTAGTCTGAACCCAGGCCCACCCATTAAACACCAACTGCACACCATGGAGCATGACAGTACTATGACCGTGGCATACGCGCCCTGTGTTGAGTTGCAGCGCATGCCACATGTAGCATACATACGGCGACCGGGCGAAGACTGGGCGGGCATAACGAACCCAAAGGAACGCAAGAGGCTCCAGAACAGGCTTAACAAACGTATTTGTGAGTGACACCCAAACCCAGATGTAACAACTCTGGTTTACCTGCTCAACCCAAGTCTAATTCTCGGCTTTTGTATCGGCATACAGCAAGGCAGCGGAAAAAGCGGAAAATAAGTCATGATGAAGACGACTCGTCAGATGCCGCGTCCAGAGCGGCTAGTACGACACCCGACACCACCGTCTCGGACACTTGGACTTTACTGTGCAACAGCAGAAGCAGCAGCACTACCACGATTGTGCCCTCGACATTCAGCCACTGCTCAGAAGAAGATGTCGTCCGGGAGCGCGCGGTGCTGGAGCAGTTTGCCGAGCAAGCGCTAAGAAGTTACATGACGGGCGACCCGTGTGCGGACCACAAGCTCCGGCTCATCCAGTTCAACATCATCAATGGTCTCACCCGAAACGCTGCCGTGCTAGGTTACCAGTTCGACTGGCTCGTGTGCGCCGCTGTCTCGCCGTTTGGACGTGACGGCCCAGTACGCGATGCTAGGTCTGTGACGCCGCCGCTGGAAAGTGGTACTGTGCCGACTAATCTGGTTCCGACCATGGTACAGCTGTCGATTAGGCACCATCCGTGGCTCGATTTGTTCCCCCTCCCTCGCATGCGAGACAACTTGCTGCTGGCGACTAAAAACTTTCTGTCGCCAGAAGAAGAGCAAGAGCTGTTTGACGACATTATGGATTCGGGGCGAGGCAAGCACGAGTGGACGGGCCTCGTGGTCTGGGGTGAACCGTGGGACCCGCAGAATTGGGAAGTTAGTAAGCCGTTTTTGGAAAGATGGGCCTGGCTTATGATCGGTTGCCCGGAAATTCTTGATTCAACTAATCGATGGCGGCGTTTGAGAGGGGAGAAGCCGCTGCCGACACCGGGGTTTATCGTGGAGGAGTTGGAAGATGGGGATTAAAAAACGGCGCAACAAGATGTTTGAGCAAGATTGTTTCATTACGAGGGCGCAGGAAGTACGTATGAATTATTACTATCATGTTTGGTCTGGGAAGGCAGGTTCGTCAGTATTCATTATCAATAATTAGGTCAATTTTTCGAAAGTTGATGTGCAGTCTTGTGAGTGTAACAGTTGGAAATTATCAAATCACACCAGCCGACGAGCAACATCACATCTCTCCTTTCATCACGGCACTCCAATCTTCGCTTCGGAAATAATCCTCCAAAGATGTCGTCTTGATACCTAGCTCGGCTGGTGTCTTGACCTTTGGGTTGCCGCCCGCGTACCCGTATTCTGCGAAAAACCGGAAGTCGTCGAGGACAGTCTTGTCGAACCCCTCTGGAAGATACTTGACATACTCTTCCTCGTCGACATCTCTCACTGTGGCTTCTACTCCCTGCGTACGAGCCCAGAGAGCAGCGTAATCGGGCTTGGAAATGATTTGACTGGCACCCAGGACGTCTGTGCCGGGCGGGTGGTGAAGAACCAGGGCTTCGACAAATGCACCAGTATCACGAGACGCAACGACCTCTGGGTTTTCCTTGTGCGGGCCGTCGCAATTGAGACGGACATATTCAAAAGTGCCGTCCGGTTTCTTGTGGGGCCTGAATGCGGGAATTTCTCTCCACGTTTCCTGGAAGATGCCCATGTTGACGGTGCTAAGGCGGGCACGTAGTTCCGGAAGCTTGTCTCGGATGTGCTGTTCAGTCGCGGCTTTTGAATCAAACTCGTACGAGTGCTTGTACTTGCCGCCGCTGATCTGCTTCACCGGCGCTAAGGTGGAAAAGACATATCGTTCGAGGGTGGAAAGGACGCTGGGGTCGCTAGCGGCTGTTGCCAGGTTGATACCCTGTAGTGTCTCCAGGTGACCGGCATATTCCTCGAGGGATAGGCCGGCCTTGGCTGCCTCACTCTGAAGGATCTTGTCCCCGGCCACGCGCGAGTAGCAACCGGCCCAATCTGTGACGGCGAAGATGGCGTGAGCACCTTGGAAGGCAGCTTTGAGGGAGTCCAAGTCATCGTGATCTCCTTTGACGATTTCGACACCCTTGTTGGCCCATTCCTTGGCCTTTTGGGAGCCAGGGTTGCGCGTGAGTCCGCGTATACGCCAGTCGGTGTGGGAGAGAAATCGATAGGCTACAGAACCACCCTGAGCCCCGTGACGTTAGTGTGTTTACGAGCTGCGACGTGTGTATTTTGACATACGCACCTGTGTTCCAGTAATGCCCAGGATAGTGATGAGTTTTTTGGCCATGATGTGGTGTTCTGATGTTGCACAGGGAAGCTGGAGAAGGTTCAGGATCGATGGAGTGTCCTTTTTCTCAACGAGAGGCCCTCCGTTTATGTGTTGACTGGACGAAGGTTGTGGTGAGAGTATGCAACACGCTTGGCAGTTCCTGACGGATTGTTTGACAGGCCCAGATTTGGAGGGCTTGGGCTATGGCAAACGTCCAGGAAGTTCTTTATTGTTGCAGAGCTACCTGGGCAACTACTATCTGGGTCTAGTGCTATGAATCTAAGCCGAAATAGGCAATCATTCCTCTACGCGTGAATGAATGGTAGCGCGTGATTGGCTGGGTAAGCGACACGTGGTGCTGCAGGTCGCTGACATCTGGTCGGCGCTATTTCGCGATCACGCTATGGTAATGCAACTGGACGACACTCTGGCTCCACTTTACCTTGCACACATTTCCAAATACCGCACATCATCCCACACTGTTACAAAGCACCCAAATGACGTGATGTGCGTTGAATTACGACTACCTGAACGACGCACCTGGCTGACAGTGCGCGGACAAGGCCCCCAATGCCCAGCTTGCCGCTTACGTCAACTGACATTCGACATGCGTGTAATTTACCTACTACGCATTGGCATCCCCCGGCACGGTGACATGGCCCGACCCGGAGCACGCTAGGGGCCCGTGCCGTGCGACGAGCCTCCTGTCCGGGGGAACATGGCAGAAGCATCTAGTAGTTCGAGGTGGAAGCGGTTGGGAGAATAAGAGAAGGGGGGCCTTGCAGATTTTTCATCACGGATCCTCTCAGCCACCAGCCTCAACCCCGTGCTCCGTAAACGGCAATTTACCAACATTTTAATACAGTGCCGTTGCAAGCCGACCCGACTGGACCTGCCTAGCCAGGAAAGTTGTCTCTAATTTTTGGAACCGAATGCGGCCGCTGAGAGCACCAACCATGGATCAACATATAGTAGCATCTCCCCATGGTCTAGGCTTGAAAACCCCTACTCAGTTGATCTAGAAGTAACTCAACAGAAACGCTGTATCTGACTCCGGTTTATTGTGTGTTCATTAACAAGGCTGCAGATATACCTGTCCCCTCACGCCAGTGGCAGGGAAGCCTTGCATACCTCTCTGCACTTAATGTCTCGATCTCCCTCCATGAGCTCGATGGGAGCATGCTGGCCCGATTTGTCCAACCTTAACTTACGTGCTTCTAGCCCGCAACTGTTCCGCGGGAACCTATACTTTCTTTGACTTCCAGCACGCTCCGTTGCAGAACAGCGACACCCTGAGCTTGGTTTCGGAAGGCTGTGCTAGTAGAGGCTGGTTTTTTACTTGCCAAGATGTCTGTAGACCCTGTATAGTTCTCAGTCAGATACAGTTCACCGAGACTTTCCCTTTACTGCATGACGAACACTGGCACATTAAGAGACGTTTTCTTGGCAATCGTCGATCGGAAAAGTTCGCCTACGTTGCCCCGGCGGCCCACTGTTCACCCCTACAAGCGCCTTGCGTACCTAGCATTCCACCGGGCATGAACCCTAGCTTTCGATTGTATGTCCAAAGTACCATAAGAAACATAGCCAAATCGTTCCTGTTAGTGACACGATTGGGGTGTCTTTAGGGCCAGCAGACTTGGAGTGATGATACCAGCACTTTAAGGCCTCCAACGCATGTATAATTGCATCACAAAATCAGAATCCTGTGCTTCAAACTCAACATTGTGACATTGTAACGTCATTGTCCTCCGTGTTTCACACAACCCATATGTTGTGATAACTTGGCGATCTGTACGGCATCGGAATCTGCAATCCGAACATACGTACTCGATCAAGCCATTGGCGTCTGAGATCGAGATGGCCTCGACCGGGCAAGCGACAAGCCTTCTGCATGTGAATGACCACCGTCAGCGGAATTTTCCTTTCCGCCTCCGCGACGCACCCTCAGCAACCGTTTACCGGGACAGGCACTAGGCGCCGTTACACGGCATGATCCTTTCCAACGGGCAAACAATACCCCATTGTTACACGGAATCCACCGCTTCGCAACGTGATACTCACACATAATTCCGCACAAAAAAAGACAGGTTTTTTCGAAAAGATTCCATCTGGAACCAGAGAAATAGCAATGATTGGTCCCTCACGAAGACTCCACATGTGGCTTGCATCCCATAACTGTGATAGTTCTTTTCCTCGACTTCCAAAAAAGTCAAACTGGGTTAAAGGTAAAAAAAAACATGCACAGGTGTCAAAGAACGTGGGTACAATTAAGCTCTTACAGCCTTCGGGGGATAAGGCCACAGGGTATCTTGGCAAATGATAGATAGGAGCAATTCGCGCTGCGAGAAAGGGCCGCCTCCGCTGTAAGTCCAACTTGGCAATAGCATCCCCCAGAAAACCAACGCCCACGTCCATGCATCTAGAGGTACAAAGGCTACGAAAGACCCGAAACCGAGTTGCATACTTTAAACTCCAGGCATCTTTATATCTTTTTTTATTCTTTTCGTTGCGCAAACAGGATCTTCAACCCAACACAATCTGATCGACGACACCCATCCCTCTCAGAGGTTGCACAGCACCTGTTGGTCAAACCTGCTCGTCGGGTTAGAGTCCCCCCCTCCACAGTCTAAACTCTATCACACCACCCTTTCCCCCATTTTCCCCCACCACCCATGCCGCCGCCAACCGGCATCCGGCTGCGAGATAGCTGCCAATCGTGCGCCGCATCCAAAACCAAGTGCTCCAAGGACAAGCCGCAGTGCGCTCGGTGCGCCAAGAGGGGTACCAAGTGTGAATATCTCGTCACACAGCGGACGGGCAGGAAGGCCCTGGCGCGGCGAGACAGCGATGCCAAAGAGCAGAGCAGTGATGCGGGTGTTCGACGCAAGAGCTTGAGCCGCTCAACGACGACAGCAACAAACACCACCACCACAACAACAACGTCGTCGTCAAGCATGTACGACACACCAGACATTCACATGTCGGGATGTGTAGAGGCGCAAGACGGAGCAGCAGACATGTACATGATAGAGCCGGGGCTCGAGACATTTGATGCAGACACTGCTGGTAGCATGCTTCCTGAGATGAGTACAGTCCACGACGACTACTTCTCGCTTCTCGTCCCAGACGTTGACACGTTGGCACTGGACCAGGTATACGATACAAGCAGTGCCACAGACGCCGCGGCATCCGACGTGCTGGCCCAACCGCTGCTCGGCACCAGCAGCGGCATGCCTCACGGCACAGCAGCATATGCAGCATACACGCAGGGCAACAACCTAGCAGCGGCCGGGCACTCATCCAGGGACCCGCCGCAGCAGCCCGACCTAGGTATGCTCCTCGATGCAGCATGTCTGCCGGGAGGACCGACCCAAACCGGCGAGCAAACCGGCCAACTGCTCTCTGAGATGCAGACGCCCTACTACCAAACCGCCATGGACCACGCCGCAGCCTCGCAGCAGCAGCACGAGGGCCTCACCATGGCTCTGCAGCTAATGCAGCACCTCTGCTGTCTGACCGATACGAGCAGTGCCAACTCCATGCCGGTCATGGGAGGGGCACCCCGCCCGCCGCCGCTCCGCCTCCGCAGTCTCATGGACAAATGCAGCAAAGCCACGGCAACCATCAGCGCCATCCTGCACGGCGACAGCTCCCACGACGCCTACTTCCTCGCCGTCGTCTGCCTCACAATGTCAAAAGTCCTAGACGCATACGTCACTGCGTCCCGTACCCTCGGTACACCAACCACCACCACCACCAGCACGGCCGACTACGACAGACGCAAGTCGCGCTCCTCATCTGCTTCTTCTTCTTCTTCCTCTCCTTCTGTGCTTTCGTCCCCGGCCCGCCCGGATTCCGCACGCAGTAACCGTAGCAGCGGGAGTGTGTCGCCGCCGGTCGTCCTGCAGGGCGACCCCAAAGCGGTTCAGCAGTTGCTCGATGAGTTGTATCACGTGCGCGCTTCTATGGATCTTTTGGGCGCCAAGATTGCCGCAGTGGCACCGGCTTCGTGCAGTGTGTTTGCGAGTGGTTTGTCTTTTTCGGCAGAGACGCTGAGTCGGCTTTATGAGGAGCAGAGACGCCGGTTGAAGTGTATTTCACTTTACCTAATCAACAGTCTCAAGGCGTTTTGGGTGGAGGAGACTTCGTTTTAATGTTTCTCTTTTTGTTTTTTTTTTCATGTTGACCTTTTCCAGACGTTTAAAGATACCTAGGGTGTTTTGGCCCCCTCTTTTTTTGCTTTTTGTGCTTGGTAGGATTGAGGCTTCGGACTAAAATTGGAGATGGGGGAGTGCACGGATATGCTGGGTTATGCATGACCCGGGCACGTGTGGATGCAGGAACAGAGTGGATTGTAGTACTATGCGGCCAAGACCTGTGGATGTAGGTAGTCGGGGATTATGTAATCGTGCGTCGGACAGAGAATGGAAAAGATTACGTACGTACTACAGAGATAGGTTAGAATGAGTGATGAATGCACGTGATGGAAATCAAACTATTGATATCAACATTTGCACGGTACCTCAAAGCATGCATGACATGGCGTTCGATACAGATTCATTTGTGAAACGGTGGCGTGATCGCATAGATGGAATAAGGAAATAATCTGAGGAGAGTAACAGTGCTATGCACACAGTGGTGTAACCTACATATCGTACAAGCTGGTCTATGCTGAGTGTGTACAGTGATACTATACAAGGGATCTACAAGTGGAACTGCGTCATGAACTATAATGACTTGTCCGCAACCTTGGCTGCTTCCAAACGGGAAGCAATGTGAGGTGTAGCAGTTGTCCTAGGGACTTGGGGTTTCATAATCTGGCCAAGGACAGCGCGGCGTGGCATGGATATCCTACTGAAAAGAACGACAGCTCCTGTCAACAAGGCCAGCGCTCCAGCTTGGTGAGCAGACGCCAACCAGGTGGGTACCATATAGATAAGAGTGCTGATTCCAAGGGTAACCTGTAGAGAGACGAGATGGACCAGACCCTGGACACCCTTATGGGCCTCCTTGGGCAACGTACTACGGACTCCCTTGGAGAAGCGAGTGTAGGCAAAAAGACTCATGACCGCAGTAAAGGTGGTGGTGGCGAGGATGCGGTGGTCGAGTTGGACCAGCGAAGGGTTTTCCAGCATGTTGCGCCACCAGAGATCCGAGTGGTCTGGGACGTGGCTGTAGAAGGGATCAAAGAGCTCCTTCTTAGGTGGGGCAAGCCCCAGACCCATCCAGGGAAATTCATTGTAGATCAGCCCCGCATCAAGACCAGCAACCAGGGCACCCGACATAGCAGTGGTAAAGACAAGGAGAGTGAGCCCAACGACGGAACCCCTGAACACACGGAGAGCCGGGTGTTGTAGTGCCTTAATGGTCTCGGCAGCCTTTGCAGGATCTGCGAGCATGCGGTGTTCCTTCAGAATGGAAAGGCCGGTAAGGATCATGGAGCAGTAGACAGCAAAGGCGGTGCCAAGATGGGCAGTCAGACGGTACTGGGAAACGCGGGGGTGGCTGCCCGGCTCAAAGAGGTCGTCCTTGAGGCCGCTCTTGACCATCCACCATCCAATGGCACCCTGGAAGCCGATCATGCCGCAGATGCCGACAAGCTTCCAAGCCATTGAGGGCGTAACTCTGCGGCGGGCAATGAAGTAGGCAGTCGGCAAGACCATGGTAACACCGATGACGCGACCCCAGAGACGATGGGCCCACTCCATAAAGTAGATTTGCTTAAAGTCGGCAAGGTCCATGGAAGAGTTAAGTAGGGCAAACTCGGGCGAGGCCTTGTACTTGTTAAACTCGCTCGCCCATTCCTCCTCGCTCATGGGCCACAAGGAGCCGGTAACAGGGCGCCATTCGGTGATGCTCAGCCTGTGCGACTTAGCAGGTGCAATTGGCGCCACAAGGGTCGTGCCTACCCTGACTCTGTAAGGCGGGTCAGCCCACCAAAGACGACTATGCCGAAGACGCTGGCGGCACTGCCCAACAGCCAGTATGCGACACTTTTGGATGTCGTCTTGGGGAAGCTGCTCGACTTTCCCTCTGCTGCAGCTGCAGCTTCAGCAAGCGATGCAGTACTCGGGTTCGATGACTGAATAGTGGCGCTGCTGCGAAGTGGCTGGGTCGACTTCCATCTGACCGATTGCAAGACCGACGGGCGGGTCGAACGAGTGGATGCGGGGACGGCGGAGCGAATGGGCGAATTGAGGCATTGTCTGCAGGAAAAGAGTCGGCGGGACAGACGGGGAGCAGCGGTGCGCAGCTGCGGGAGAGCCTGGAAGACGGAGGCCATTGCGGGCGACAGACAATGGGCAACCCACAAGAGAGAAGCAGAAGAGGAAGAGGCGGTCGTCATGTCATCGACTGCGGATTTTCGGCGGTACAAGGGTCCGGAAGCGGCGCCAAGCATTGGACCCCTGCATGCGGCGTTGACAGGCGGAAGGCGCGCCCCACTCGGCACCGTCGCAACTGCATCACCGGACCCTAGCCAGCGAAGATCGCCGTTTGCCAGCACTCGCCAGCGGATGCGTGATGTGCCTAGTCGGTCTGGTGGCCCCGTGACTTGTCCTCTCCTCCCCGCCGCCCTCGCTGTAAATCTGTCGTGCCTCTTCGTTTTCTTTTTCTTCCTCGAGCGTCCTGGACACTGCTGTCGTGTCAGACGCCGCGTGTTGCTGCTGCTACCCCGCCTGTTCTTCACCGCGTGTCCGGCCGTCAAAGCCTCGCCAACCAATGTGCTCCATATACAACCTGTACCAGACCTAGAATGGACAACGCCCACCAGCCGCCTGCCGGCCAAGGGAGCACCATCCACGATCATGACGCCCAAACCCTCGTTGATGGCTCGGTGTGCACACCCGGCGATGCTGAGGGTACAGACAATGGCTCAGGCTTACGTAGCACTCCACCCGCCAGCCTCTTTTCGCCCCATATAACTTCAGTCCCTCCTTCTGACCAATCTGCCTCAGTTGGTGAAGGCTCAAGGCCCCGTACAGCCCACAGGAGAATCCTCAGTCACTCCAGCTCCATGCCCTCCCTCGCAAACCATCCCAGCATGCCAAAGCGGCCGGCAAGACCACTGGCCCCAGAAGAGCGCCCGCCCATAGTCCAGTTGCAGACGGAGATTGAGCAGGCACAAAAGAGCGCCGATGACCCAAACACACCCCTCGAGGACTCGGGTAAAAGACGCACCACCCTGGATCTCATGCGTTCAGAGCATGCCTTTCGTACAGAAATAAGTACCCTTTTCAGCGAAAGCGCTGCAGCCTCAGCCTCACGTGCTCCATCCTACAACAACGCAACGGGCCCCCTGTATCTGCGAGGTAATGCCCGTCTATATCTGCTGCAGTGTGAAACTAATCTTGGCAGCCTCTGGCGAAGCAATCCCCCTACCAGATCACCTCTATTCCCGTGGACTGCTTGAAGGCCGCCATTCAGACATTACTGTCATAGCCTTTGGCCAGCGCTATTCTCTGCACCGACTGATCCTCGATCGCGCACCATTCTTCACCACTGCCCTTTCTGAGCCATGGCTCGAAAGCCAGTCCAAAGAAGTCACTCTGCACCCCGAAGAGATCGACTCTAGTATCACCCAAGCAGCCTTTGAGCTTGCCATACGGAAGCTTTATGGCGTCGACATCTCGAAAGACATGGATGCCGAAGCCGTCGGTCTTTTTGCAACAGGATGTTGGCTGGAAATGCAGGATCTCATAGACTCGGCCATTGAGTCCATCCTGCGTCAGATGGCTCCCGAAACGCTTGCCTACCTCATCCGGCTCGTCACCTCCAATTACTACGGCCGCTCCGGCGATCGCATCCTCGAGTCGGCCAAGGCTATGTTGAGTAGGAACGGCTGGGAGATGCCGCTCAAGTACTGGGACGACATGCCGGGTGATATTATTCGCGAGCTTGTGGGCTCTGATGGTTTCTTCGTAGACAGCGAGTGGGATCGGTGGGTGCTCGCAAAGCGCCTGCTTGATCGCCGGCTGCGACTGGCAGCTATCGATGCTGGATTAATACAACGAGGACAGAAGCCTGTACCGCAAGCTCCCAACTCCCTGCGCTTCATGGCTGTTCGTTTCGACGGCGTCTATCGGCAGAATGCTCTAACTGCCGCTCACTCATCATCCGACGCCCACGCTGAATGGCTGGCACTGTACACATTACCAGACATTGAACGCATACTTGTGCTGCTGGATGAAGGCATCCATTACATTCATATGGAGTTTGAGCAGCTCGAGTTCATCAAGAGTGCCCGCGATGTCTTTGGTCTCCCTGTCATGCCTGACAGTGTGATTTCAAGCTCGCTCTGGCAGCAGCTGGCTCTTCGCCAAAGGGTACTCAACACGGATGAAAACGCACAAGAACTAGGTCTATCGCAGTCACTACCTGGGCCCGAAGCATTCAATGTGGCTACCAAGAGTGGAAGCGAGTTGACCTCAAAGGGCCAGCAGGTAGAGAATGCGGCGGACAATGGTATACCTGAGTCAGATAGCTGGGACGGTAATGGGAAACCGCGCAAATTTTGGATCCCAAGCTCAGACTGCAATATCGTACTCGGCAATGGAGCTGAACCTGTTGTTACGACCTCGAGCTCCTTCCAACGCCATGCCTCGCGTCTGTCGGCCACTTTACAGCCCGAAGATGCTCAATGGGCAACGGACTTTGCGTCAACTCCAGCAACGCTAACTAACCCAAATACACGCATGGACTTTCCACGACGCCCGATATCCGCCGGCGGTGGAAACGCTGGGCAGCCAAGGCCGATTGCTTACACCGAGTTCCCTCCTTTCCGTTTCTCCGCCGAATTCCCCAATCCGCGTTTTCTCAAGGAGAAGAAGCGAGTATACTCTCGCACGGTATCATACGCTGGATCTCTCTGGAACATTTACATTCAAAAGGTTCGGTCTGCCAAGAATGTGCAACTGGGTGTGTATCTCCATCGTGCAAAGGAGCGTGAGGTAGATGAGACTGTACAAGCCAGTGTTCTCAGTCAGCAAAATGATGGCACTGTTGACGAGCGTATTGGACGTTTGGAGAGGGAAATGCTCATGCGTAGCGATCCACGCGACCGGAGACGCAGCACCCGCGTTCCCTTTGTAGACTCGACCGCCGAGGACGACACATCTGGCAGCGGCGGTGACCCCGACCCAGCACTCGGCTCTCCAGGTCTCCACAACTCCATCTTCTCTGGCAACACGCTCAGCTCACGACGCAGCAACATGTCACGCGGCAACATGTCGCGTATCCCCTCGCGCGGCCTTCCCCAATGGGGCTTCCACAACATGAACACCTCTCTCCCACAATCCAGCGACTCAACCGACTCCCCCTCCTGCGCCCACGCCCCTTACTCGCCCTCCGAACACGAATCCGACACATCAGACTCCGACCAAGACTCGGACACAGCAGCCTATACAAATCCCTCCCTCTTGTCCCGCTCCCAGCGCAAAACTCGCTCCCTCATACCCGCTCTGCCCCCTTACGTCGACGCTCGTCCTACTATCAAAACATACTTTAAGATTTATAGTCCTTCCAAGGGAGGCAGGATGCTGAGTATATACGAGAGTGCGCCCGATCGGTTTAATTTTAGTCAGAGTTGGGGATGGAAGAGTAGCACGCTCATGCTGGATGAGATTACGCTGAGTGGCGAGGGGGAAGATGCGTTGGGTGGTGGGATGAATCCGCCGCCGGTGGTTAAGAAGACGGATGGGAAGTTGCGGTTCATGGTTGTTATCGGCAATTTGTGATTTTGGGTCTTTTTACGTCGTTTTTTCTTCGATTTTCACGAGGCTGATTATGATTAGATATATGGTGATACCCCGTGGGTGTCTCTCTCCTTTTTGTTTTCTTGGAGGAGGTCAATGGCGTTTTTTGGGGGGGAGGGGGATTTCCTTTTTTCTACTATGGAACATCTGAGGGGAGTGGATTTATGCCTATTAGACTGATGTGTGTTCTCACGAACCCTTTATATCTCCCGCTGGAGTTATTACCTAACTCCCCGCCTTACACATCGTACACCTTTTTTTTAACATTCGCTCATCCCCTGTTTTCTTTGCTTCCATTCACAATTTCCCATACTTCAATATCCCTCGAGCTGAACCACCACCCCCCTTTCCCCCTATTCTCCGACCCTGATACCTAGTTCCGACTCCCTGGTGTCTTCCTGGAATCGTACAGTTCCTTTCTTTCCCCTCCTTCTCCTGCTCAGCAAAGAAACTAGCAGTAGAACTAGTTTTGTGCCCCCTTTCCTGGGCGGTACTTGTCGTATACCGAAAACAAGAACTCGGGCGAGGATACCGAGGAGCGTTGCTGGGCGGCAGTCTCACGGCGGACGTCTTCGGTTGCGCGGTCGTGGGCATAGGGGTCGAAATCTTGCCCTTCGTTCCATGCTGATGTCTCGTTCTCGCTGGGTAGGTCTTGATACATGTCTCTGGCTGCGGCGTTGGCGGCTGCGTCGTTACGAATACGCGAGACGTAGTCTTGGAAGCTAGTATCTGTGGCTCTAGTTAGATTGCCTTTTGGCTGCTTGAAGACCCGGTTGCGGTTGTGCTCGTGTTTGGGAGCAGACGGATGAGGGTTTTCGTTCTTGGAGGTTCGACGCGGCGAGAATGTTCGAGACGGCACTTCATCCATGTTAGTACGGTTGTAGGTGTTGAAGCCAGACACTTCAAAAGACGGATCAATGTCCATTGGCAGAGTGGTGTTCTGTACTTTAGTCAGATCTTGATTCATACACTGGCTATAGGTTAGAGGATGAGTAGTCACGGTGTGTTCTGGAGCTTTGTACTGCTTTGGCATAGGAATCGAAGGTGCTGGTACTGTATCCCAACGATTGCGCGCCGGTGGTGTTGGTTCTGGGGACGGCTCTAATTCTGGGATACGGTTGTGGTGCTGTTGCTGAAATCAGCCTCTTGCTCAGTGATTTTGGAAAAGGGTGTTACTGTAGAAGCATATGCGTTAGCGCGGTCACCAGGATGTGTCCTACTACCCCACAGCACTGCACTTTCATTCCCCGACAACGCGGCAGTCGGATCGATCTCTTCACCGCAGATGTTCGGCAACATGACTCCATCCACATCGGTATTGGTAGCCTTCCCATCTTCATCGAACCGAATGCGGATAGGACACTGCTCCGCATGTACAATCAGCTCGTCCTTTTTCTCGCACCAGATCTTGTATCCTGCTGCTTGGGCCGCATGGCGCTGCTTGACGACTAACACTGAAGCTTTTGCTTTTGCTCGTACTATGGAGACTTTGCAATCAGTGACACTGAGGGTCTGAAACGAAGCGTTCGAGTACGTATTTCCAGTTGCTAGAGAAACTGGGGCAGGAACTGGCGTGCCAATGATGGTCTCGTAGGGGTTGGATGCATCGCCAACTGTGTAGCGGCCGATGGCTGCAGTGCCGATATCACTGAATAGCTCCTTTTGCGTGGGCTCACGATTATATATCTTTCGGAATGTTTCGGCGTTGCTCGGGGGCACAGTTTGCACTGCTACATCGCGGTAGGTGACAGTGCGTTGCGTGGGTGTGCCGGTGGTTTGCTGGGTGGCAAGCTTGTTCTCGAAATTTATGACCGTCGGGCCGCCTGACTTGCGAATAATAGGGTAGGATGAATATTCTTCTTCTAGGTCGATATCCATGACGCTGCTAGAAGTCAGTATCCTGTAACTATGTTTTGATGGACACTGTGCCGCGGTGGAGACATTGATTTCTTCACCAACTGACTCAAAAAAGTTTTCTATCAAGTGCAAGCCGGCAAGGTTGCAGTTGTGTGATGAGCAGCAGATGGTAACGCTTGGTGAATATAGCTGCACCCAGTGTGCCGAGTTTGATGTTTATTCTGAGTGACTGAGGCATACGGAGTTAGTTATTGTAGAAGAATGTGGGAGATGTTGTCAACCTTATATTTGATCCTCGATTCAATAAGAAAACTTCAAACCACACAATCAATGGAAAATACTGTCCCGTTGCTGAAGTCGCTGCAAAAGGAGTCGTGATTGTTCGAGTCACTCTGTAAGTGGTGCAAGACTTCACTTCACCTAACTGCTTATGACATACCAATGACGCTAGTATCAAATAGGCATTCACTGGATATGATGATCACGCATAGTCAGATTGTGCTTGCTTTCACCGGTACTAAAATTCTACCCGTTGCCCTGCCAACTGACCCTTATCTCAAGACTTTCGAATCATTCAGTAGTCTGCGACACATACCCAGTGCTCGATTCCGGCATCTCTTACTAACAATTTAGTTTCATAGGTGCCGCCTGCACCAGCTGCTTCGTCCACTCACTCGCCTTGAATGCACCATTCTTCCACGAAAGCTCGACATTGTTCAGGTCTGGCCATTGAACAACAACTCGATGTCCCATAGAATGCAAAGTCCCCAGTTCCTCGACTAGAGCATGAATAGCGCCGCGCAACTCGGACGCACTCATGCATCCAGTATGGGGTGCGTCGTACGTCTGAACGCGGATGAAAAACTCGACATGATTTGGCAATTGATGGAAAAGTTTGAACACGCTTGTGAGTTTCTCTCCTGCATCTTTGACAACGCAGCATGGCCTTTCCTTGTACTTGGTATGCAAGCGCTCCTCCACGCTCAGTTCGACACGAGCACGGCAGATGAGATCCCGCGGCTTGATGCCGTGGCCCCATCTATCGGTAACAAGAAATTTCTCAATGACTCTGTTATTGTTTCTCTTGTCGTAGAAATAAAATAGTGTTGTGCGGTACCAGCTTTCAATCATTTCTCTCTGCACCTCGGCTCCCATGTACTGGGCACTCCAGTAATGTGCTTTTACGTCTGATTCGCAGGGCACCGTTGTTTTTCCAAAGTACTCGGGTCCAACGTAGATGGTTTCGTGAGCATGTATATATTCGTATATCATGTCTCTAATCTCGCGAGGCAGGGCCTGATGCACGCTAGTGCAGAGGGATTGACATTCGCGTGGTGACACCGGACGAAATGCCGGGGTTTTTTCCTTTACCGCTGGAGCGGGTTCCTTTGATTGTCTAGCTTGAATTTCTTGGTACTCTTGAATTTGTTGCATAAGAAGGCTGTGCATGTTAGAGAGGTTCATGTGTCAATGTATCGAAAGGAAGATGCGCACTGCTGCAGGACTTGCGGAAGGTCCAGAGGGTTCTCCATCAATTCTGATTCCGAGTCCGAATCCATGGTGGCACGTAGTGATTGATTAGTTTGATTTCTTAAAATTCTGTTTGGTGAAATTTTGCCAATGAGAGGACAGGAGTACACACAAACAGGTGGTTGCATGGCTGTTGTTATACTTACGTGTGACGGGACGAGACTTGGCGTTTTGGGGGGTGGTTGCCTGACAGGCAACCCCGCTAAAATGACAACCATCGCCGTGGGAACCACGCACCCCTTTTATGAGCTGATAAGATTGAATAGTATCTTTTCATCAACGGTCTATTTCCCAAGTTTTCAGTGACCACATGTCGACACCTACAGGTGTCATGGTACGAGGAGATGGTGATGTCTGGCATTGATCCAAACTCCTCCGTCCGTACAGTGATTGTCTCCTTGGCTGCACCCGTTGGTCGATATGTAAAGGAAGTTGGGGGATGCTTGGCTAGAAATAGCCCAAATCGGGGCAGAGAAGACGGGTTGAGCTCTTCTTTTTCTTTCTTAGAGCCCCTTGTTTCAAGGGCCCAGAGAGGAAATATTCTCTGTCTGGCAGGAAGCCAATCAGTGAGGACAAGTAGAGTTGACACAAGGTCAGTATGCCGGTGTGTTATCGACGCTGAGTTGTGGGATAACCCAACAGGGTAATTTTCCGATCAACAGTCGAGATATTAGTGTGGAGTGAGCACCCGAGTAAGCAACCGGCAGCACCTTGATAAACAGCATTATGGGGCGTGTAGGAGCAAGAAATGCGACTTTTCGGTTTTCTAAATCACTATCAAAATGAACCTGAATTTGTCAGTAACCAAAGCATGGGAAAGTTTTCATCGTGATGGTAGTGTTGCAGACGGGCAACTGCGGAAGCATACTTTAAGGTACTCATACCTGTGACCTTGCAGGTACCACTGCTGACATAGCGGTCCAGAGCTTTATCTGAGGAAATCACTCGCAAAGCACGCGTAGCGGCTTTGAGAAAAGAGCTTGCTGTGCTGGAGTCAGATCTTGCCAGCATCGCACCCAGTACACAGGACATGGTCGAGCAGTTGGCAAGACGAGAATGTCTTGAACTCAGCAACCAGATCATGAGCAGATTGCCACGCGAGGTGCGCGACATGATTTACCTTCATCTCAGCACACGAGACGTCGAAATCATCGAGCGCGAACACTTCCGCACCACACTAGACCCCTTGACGCGATTGTACTCGTATAATTTCGAGCGATGGAAGAAGCAACATTTCCAGGAGCATTACTGGAATCCTGAATACGTGTCAAAGCCATTATACAATGAGCTGGTGGAAAACTACTATCGCACATCTACTTTTGTCTTCAGCGACGATCCGGGCGTCATGAAACGGTTCCTGACGACAGATGAGATGCGCCTGGGGCTACTTCCCAAAGACTTGGTCGCAAAGGTGGAGATAGGCCTCAACGCCGTATCACATGATCGAGGATCTTTCCGTGCATACATGTTCGGAGTACCAAAAAGTCCAGAGCGGATGCGGGAGGCAGTGGAGGGGCTCTTCGAGCTCAAGACGGGAGCTCGGGCGGTGATTAGATTTGTGACTGAGGCCAAGACACAAGAGGAGAGAGACGAGCATTGCAGGGGGGCGATGGAGACGCTTTTTAACGAGGCGCAGAGAGAGAAGATGAAGAAGTACAAGGTTAAGTTTGTAGTGGATGACGTGAGAGTTTGGAAAGTGGGAGAGGCTATGCGACATGAGTGGATGGACATCCACGGCTAAACCGGGAGTGAGATGGGAAGTATGTGGGATAAACAAACTGACCTGTCGCATTTCGCAAAACTTGCTCACCCAAACACCAAGCTTAGCTGAAACATGGAGTCATTTGGCGCATAGATGTATAGAAGCGAAAGCATGGTAAGATGGAATGTCGAAACCCAATGTGAGAGCTGCGCTACGTACTGCTGGTGTTAGTGTGCACTGCATCAGGGCGCTGAATGCGAAAGAGGCCGTTTTTATTGAACGTTTGAATTGTTTCCCAGATTGCAATATGTTATCAGACTATGTTTCAGACAGTCAAAGACAGTGTCTAACTACCTGATTGGTTATGACATTGAGTTTGAGCTGTACACCAACAGTAGGTTATTTACCGACAAAATACCAATTCGTACGTATAGTACTAAACTACGAACCATAAACTTTCCTTTCTGGATTGCCCCTCTATGGGGTTTAGCCCTTCTTCTATTTCGATTTTAGTAGTCAACACTTTGGTATCTTTCAAAATGCGACTTACCGCTCGCACGCAGCAAGTCAGATCACCATTGTCGCCAGCCATGCAGACGCCGCTCTCGCACTCGTAAGGAGAATTACAAGGCTCTGTGCAAGTTAGAAAACATTTTTTTTTAAGTAGCATGAGGTATACTGACGTCCACAGCCTTTATGACAATTTCGTGTGCTATGACCAGGAAATGGACAAGTCCCCGGTGGCAGCGATGTGGCTATCGGATGTGGGGACGGATCCGTATGTATCACTGCATCTGCTGGCAATGCCACGGCCATTCCAAGGGATGTAGCGAGCACGAACAGTCATTTCATAGTTATGATTAACTTGAAAGTGCAGGGTTAGACGGAGGATCGCTAACAAAAACTAGATTTTCAACTCAAACGGAGAAATCTTTGCTTGAAAAGAAATTATCTGCAGCAGGTGAAGATTGGATATTTAAGTACAAGAAGTCGAGTATGCGAAACCCCCAAATAAAGTTCCCACTAAAGTCGTCGCTTAGAATATCAGCAGAACGGTACAAAACTTTGCTCTAGGATTACCTTGGTGGCTTGATCCATTGAGCTCCAGATCAAGAGAAATTCTCATGTTAGACATAAGATCACGAACACGAGAGACCAGTCAAGACTAGTCGAAACTGTCATATGCCAGTACCGCATGTAAATCCTTCGGGGAAGGCCATCGGTGATTGAGTGGAAATATCCGTGTAATACCAATAAGTCAGATCCCTAATCCAGATGATGAAGCGAGCAATATTTCGAGGGCTATATGCGCAAGGAGCTGTCACCTGATGTGCCATGATTACTACGGGTCGGCACATACGACCGAACGTGCACGGGTCTGAGCCAGGTACATTGACTACTTTTTTTAGGGCTAGCTTAAGATATACTAGTCCAAGTTTACTGCTGCTTTGCTGCCAAGTATAAAGAGTCATTTCTTCCTCTTCATCGCTTTTGTTGCAATACCTTTTACTTGCTTACTTCGCTTACATCCTTGATAAATGCTCATAAAACAACCTGGTGTCACTGGAAAAGATGTGTTGGCATCAAAAATGGCTCAATATTAAAAGAACCAGAGATGCTCGTCGTAAACTCGTAGTAATAAAGGTTGAAAGGAGATTTTCGGTATAGAAAATCGACATATCCAGCATTGTTCTCAATAGTGACCCATCCCATATCTGTCACAGAGAAATAGTCATCAGCAGCGGAAGAGGACTTTAACTAATTACTGGCTAGAGGAAGGGCCGAAAGGAGACCGGCGATGATTGTGGTAAACCATCACGTGATTAGACTGCAGGTCGATATTGTGATTTCCTTTCACACATGAACAGCTAATTTTGTCAATCAATTCTTTGGTAGCGATTAGATCTCAGCTTTGTGCTATCTCAATCGCGTATCGTGCCGCAATATGAAGCTTCAAAAGTCTACGGTTGCATATAACAGGAAGAACTTCTTCCCTGACACTCAATAGGGAAATATAAAAGGCCGAGTAAGAGCCGGTAGATCGCAGAGGTCTCTATCAGAAGGCGATGATTACCACGGAGCGCTGATCACGTGATTGGCGTCTACCGTTCGTGCTGACAGGGTTCAACGGCAAGAGCTACCCCGCCATGGCAGAAATTGTTATCGCGCCCGTGTTGGCTGCCCCTCATTGAATGCTTTCACGCGTCAGTCTTGCTCCAGGTGCCTTCAAACTCTATAACATAACCAGGATCTGGACAAGGAACATCTCAATTCCCTATCGCAGAATGGCTGGCGTTCCAAGCACGTATGACGGTGCGCATTTCCCACCACTCCCGTTGGCTGGCCTCGTACTGACTTTTTCTGCAGCACCCGTCCACATCGCCGTCATAGGCGGTACTGGCATTTCATCGCTACCTGGCTTCACTCTTGCTGCAACCCTTGACATCGACACGCCATGGGGAAAGCCATCGTCGCCAATCTCTATCCTGCAGCATCCGTCGCCCACGACTGGCAAGCCCATTCCTGTAGCCTTTCTTTCACGGCACGGCCTATACCATGAGCTCGCCCCTCATGAAGTCAAGAACCAGGCCAACATTGCTGCACTGCGCCACATCGGCGTCCGCACCATTATTGCTTTTTCTGCTGTCGGCTCGCTGCAGGAACACGTGCGACCTCGCGACTTTTTGGTGCCCGACCAGATCATTGACCGCACAAAAGGCATCCGCCCATTCACCTTCTTCGAGGGTGGCATGGTAGGCCACGTAGGCTTTGGCGACCCCTTCGACAAGCGCCTAGCCGCTATTGTTAGACAGTGCGGACATGCGCTCGAGGGTGAGGGCGTGACGCTACACGACAATGGCACCCTCATCTGCATGGAGGGACCACAGTTCAGCACTCGCGCAGAGTCCAACCTCTACAGATCATGGGGTGGCAGTGTCATCAACATGTCTGCTCTCCCCGAAGCTAAGCTTGCGCGCGAGGCCGAGATTGGCTACCAAATGATCTGCATGGCCACCGACTACGATTGCTGGCGGGGTGATGGCGAGGAAGATGTCAATGTAGAGATGGTCATGGCCCACATGAAGGCAAATGCAGAAAATGCAAGACGCTTTGTGGGCGCCGTGCTGAACGAGCTAAGCAAGGAAGAGCATGTTGACCAAGTTCTCGCAAAGCACCTGGATGGACAGATGAGGTTTGCAGGCGCCATGACCAAGAAGGAAGGACGAGGACAGGAAGCGGAGAAGAAGCTGCAATGGTTGTTCCCAGGCTACTTCGACTAGACTAAAGCACTCATCAGCATGCAACCGACTCACGTACATACATAGATATCTGGCCGGGTCTGAAGTCTAGAGTGATGCAGTCCACACGCGCAGCACTGGCAACGTCTTCAACCGAGCGGCGAATCTGAAAACATGGGTGTGAGCGACATGCAAATGCCCCCATGCGGAAGGTCGGCAGCATCTACAACGCACCCAAGATCCCGTGCTTGCATCATACATACAAACCAAAACCGCTCACTAGGTAGAGTGTATCGATAACTACCCGCGACCGGTAGCTTCTTCCTTTTTCCGCGGCATCAAGCTTTTGATTCCTCAGTTTGCCCTACTTAGCACCTTCCTAGTTAGACAACGATCGCCGCCAACACCTTCCGCAATCGCAGATGCATTTGTTAAACGTCCACGACACATATCCTACTATGTCGCTTGCTAGCCTCGCGTAGCAACATCACAAACAGAGTATGAGCAGAAAATTCTCTGCTCAGGTGACACAAGTGTACAACACTGGCTGAAAGGAGCAGAGTGTGACCGATTATGAACCCATTTGGAAATACGCGCATGTAAACCGTTACTGTTAAGCCCACGATACCCTGTGGCAAAGCCATGCCGTGACATTTCCATGTGCTTATCATGGAAACTACGTAGGTACAGTACATCAGTGTTGAACCTGCCCTGCCGGAAACGCGCTTGCAGGCTGATCCTTGTCCGACATGGGGACCGCACAAGAGCCGACCTCGGGTCGTTGTAATACACATGGTTATAATAACAGACATGAGACTGCCCCTTATCATGTAAATTCACACTCTCGACCATCTCCTCTTGTACAGCTCTCCTCCAAGACTGTAGTTGTTGCAACCAGCATCATGGTCTCAGCTTGGTTCTTGGCCAAGGTCTTTCTGGCCTTTCCGCCACTCCCGAGTGTATATGCACAGTATAACGGCACGGCCGGCTTCCCTTCTCTTCTGGATGCTACAGCAGATGATTTGGCTGCTGGTCTGAATGCTGGAGCGTTTACGAGTTTGGATCTTGTACAGGTAAGTTTTCGTGAACTGACTTGCTGTAGCTCATTACCGGACTTGATGCTGACATGAAGCAAGGCTTACGTGGGACGGATCATTGAAGTCAACAAAACACTTCATATGGTCGTTGAGATCAACCCAGATGCTTGGTCTATCGCGAAGCAGCTGGATGAAGAACGCGCTTTAGGCAAGTCCAGAGGGTTCGTCATCTCCAATCCAACTAACATCGCTGTACGTTGTTGATAACAAACAGACCCCTTCATGGCCTCCCAGTGCTCATCAAGAACAATATTGCCACTGCGGATGAAATGAACAACACGGCTGGCTCTTGGTCTCTTATCGGGGCTAAAGTCCCACGTGATGCCACTGTTGCCGCAAAGCTCCGCAAAGCAGGCGCTATCATCCTCGGCAAAACCAATCTTTCTCAATGGGCTAATTACCGATCATCCAATTCTTCGAATGGCTGGTCTGCTCAGGGTGGTCAGACATACGGCGCATATTTCCCTGGACAAGACCCCAGCGGTAGCAGCAGCGGGAGTGGTGTCGCTGCCAGCATAGGGCTGGCATTTGGGACATTGGGCACTGAAACCGATGGATCAATTATTTCGCCGAGCCAAGTGAACAACATTGTCGGCATAAAGCCCAGTGTTGGCCTTACCAGCAGGTCACTTGTGATTCCAATTTCAGAACATCAAGACACGGTTGGACCTATCGCTCGTACGGTCAAGGACGCAGCGTATATTCTACAAGCGATTGTTGGTCCCGATCAGTATGACAACTATACTTCAGCGATTCCTTGGGCGAAAAATGCAACCAATGTCACAGTGCCTGATTATGTCTCTGCCTGTAGACTGGATGCCTTGGAAGGAAAGCGCATCGGTGTTCCACGAAATGCCATCGGTACACCTGATGTCTCTACCGCACCAGTATATGCCGCTTTTGAAGCCGCTCTTGATGTTCTGCGTTCTGCCGGCGCCATCGTCGTAGAAGGAACAAACTACACCGCATGGGACCAGTACCTCCAATCCAACGCCGAAGGCATCGTACTCGACGGCGATTTCTCGCCCAATCTTGCCAGCTACCTTTCCCAACTCACATACAACCCCAACAACGTCACGACCCTGGAAGAGGTGAGAAGCTTCACCCAAACTTTCCCCGCAGAAGCCTACCCAAATAGAAACACCGCGCAGTTTGACAGCTCCATTGCCCAGTCTCAGAACTTTAGCAACACGGATGCACAGTTCTGGGCTGCATACCAAGAAGACCTCTACCTCGGCGGCGAAGGCGGTCTCCTCGGCGCACTGGTAACCTACAATCTCGACGCTGTTGTACTTCCCTCGCTTGTCGCATCTGGTATCTCTGCCATTATTGGTGGTCCAGTGGTTACCGTCCCTCTAGGAGCCTACCCCGCCAATACCACGGTGATCAAAAACTCGCGTGGCGACTTGAATGCTACAGCCCCGAATGTGCCATTCGGAATATCCTTCGCGGGGAATCTGTGGAGTGAGGAGAGTTTGATTGGTTTTGCGTATGCGTTTGAGCAAAGGACTATGGTTCGGAAGACGATCAAGCCGTATATTCAGCCCAGTATTGAGATTGAGAACGTGGTGGGCAGTTATTAGGGGAACGAATAAGTTGAGAAGAGTGCTAATTCATACAAATCGAGGTCATGGAAATCAAGGGGATGGAGTGCCGGTAGGATGCATAATAGAGTTGGGGTTGTCCAACAAGGTTCTGACACTAATGCTCAAGCACTTTTCTTCGTTTATAGGAGCAGCACCAGACGCACCATACATCTTCTTCATTCACATTGACCTTGTTTCATATCCGAGAAACATATATGTCGTTTACCTTTCATTATTTTAACTAGTTCGGCATCACTGCATTGCCTCGAAGCAAGCCCCCGCTCAGTTCAGAATACCTCGTTTCACCATGAGGGGAAGAAAAGCGAAGAGCTGGAATAATAGCCTCAAGACAGTATGTACGCATGAGCTGGAGACAGTGTAGCCTCATGAGGATATGTGTTCATGATTCTGTTCAGCTGAGTGAGAAATGGCTGTCAAGATGGTGATGCGATTGTGTTGATGGTGCGCGAAACTCATGACGCAATTGGCGACTCTCGAAGCTCCCCAGTGGCGCCGAAGCTCTCCGCCACCCCTCAGTCATCAACTCGCGGTTAGACGGAACACAATCCCAAATCACCAAGACAACTACTCACACATTCTCTCCCTACATGCGCTTCCCATCCTTTCCTACATTTCTCCGCACGATACACACCGTAACAAATACAACAACCGCCTTTCTTCGATCCAGCCCCACGACTGGTATTGGCCGTTCCATTTATAACACTCCCCAGCGCGTAGTTCTCTACCGTTCGATGCCAAACATTCCCTTCCTGGGCGCTCTTTTCGGATCTTCTAGCAGCATGTCCGATAACACGAACTATCCAGTGCAGAAGCCTGAGGGCGAATGGCAGGCACAGCTATCGCCTGGTATGGCTCCCGGTTCTTTCCACTACAGCTTAGACGATGCTGACGTTTCCCAGAGCAATTTCGTATCCTCCGAAAGAAAGGCACTGAGCCACCCGGCTCCGGAAAATACGACAAGCACTACCCCGACGCCGGCGTCTACACCTGCGGTGGATGCGACGCGCCTCTTTACAAAGCAAACCACAAATTCGACTCTGGTTGCGGATGGCCCGCCTTCTGGGACGCCATACCCGGCGCTGTGGGACAGAAGTCGGATCCTAGTCTAGGCATGATGCGGACTGAGATTGTCTGCAACAATTGCGGAGGTCACCTGGGACACATTTTCAAGGGCGAGCGATTCGGCAATCCCAAGGACGAAAGACATTGTGTTAACAGTATTAGCATCAACTTTAGCCCTGAGGATAAGAGCTGAAGCCAGGAGAAAAGCCGATGGGAAAGAGAGGCTGTAAAGATATGTGTGCCGCTGATATCGAAATGAGAGGATTATTTCAGCGACTTACTTCCACCTCACCTGGTCTGCGTATCTGTTTCAGATCATTCTATCACCACGTGCCTTTACGTTGTGCCCATCATGTGACGATATTGATTGGTAAAACACTCTGATAGAACTTACAAGTGAAAACTAGACCCTGTCAAACCATATAACAAAAATGAGTATAATAAGCACCTAACTACTACGCTGACATTGCTTCTGCTTCCCACACACAGGTCCTCTATTCGACAGCAGCGACAACACTCAGAGCCGCAGCATCACTCGTCGGATAATTTGCCTTGATTCAATAGGATGCCTACGGTGCCTGATCGAGCTTCAGCCACTGCGACAGATCCACCTCTGTGCGGGATTTGTCCCAACGGAGCTACAATCACTTGCTCTGGATGCGACAATATGAAGTATTGCTCGGTCACCTGTCAACAACGTGATGCCGCGCAGCACAGCATGCTCTGCAGCACTTTCCAGGACTTCCAAGAACGCCCCAGCCCCAATCACTTCCGTTCCATCTACTTCCCAGTCGACGAACTCAATCCACGCTTCATCTGGCTGCGCATGATGGGCACACGCGGCTCTCATGTTGTGGACGATGAGGACCTATCGCAGTATGTATCTGGAAACCAATCTGGGGGCATTTGCACCTCGTCGCATTACGGGATTACTCCGGAGCGCGAGTACAAGACCATGATCGTAGTTCAGCACGATGGCAACATGTTTGGCAACTTTCAGGTAGTTAATTGGTGCCTTTTATATCTTCTTGGCCCCGAAGCGCATCGCTGGCGAGGGGGGTATGTGGGTCATGGATACAAGTACAGTACAGTGACAGACCCAGATGATTACGATGATACTGATGCTAAGGATTCTGATGATCCTTTGATTGCAGTCGATCTGGATACGACAAGCTTGGGTCCTTTGATTGCCTATTTTTAGCTGCTGATGCGTAGGGAAAGGGCCGACATGGCATTTTGGGCATCTGCTGCCTAGGTCTTTATGATATTAGATCAAAGGCGGAATTTGGTGCATCTACTTGCAGTCATGCGAATCTGGAAATGAAGAGAGCAGTTTACTAGCAGCAATACTTGGATTCAGTTTTCATTTAGCCTCCCTGACGCTTCTCCCGATTTGGAAACTGCGATTCAGTGCGTGTCTCTTGTATAATAGTCACGCCGGACTTAGGCGCCCGGAAATAATAAATGGCCGAGTGGCAACCTCGATTGCTCTCGAAGCGCCCACCACTACGTATCAGTCAAATTTTCACCAATGAAATGTCCATGTTGATATTGTCGATGGCGCGCTACTATGCGCGGCCGAGACACCCGATCTTGGTACCGGATATCCACACTGCAATGCCGGACTTTCTTTTCTTCTCTTTTTGGCTGACAGTTTGTGCCTGGTCTTGTTAGCACACCCGCTGAGCTGATGATACCTAGCTCTCGAGATTCAAATGGGGCATCCACCTCTCGAGTGGCGTCTGGCTACGGCTCCACTCGCACAGGTTTCAGAAATGACTCAGGCGAGCAAGAGTCACGATGCAACTCGGAAACTGCCCGCTCAGCAGACACCAGAAACACATCGAGGTCGATAGAGAACAACACGGAAGGTGCCGCAGGCCTTTCTAGCAAGCAAAGAAATAGGCCACACGACCTTTCTATCAACACAAACGTCACCGACACAGATACTCAGAATGGCGACGACACAGGCAAAACCGAATCAGCGAACAGGCCGGTATCATGGAGTGCACTTCCGCGCAAAGATCAGCTTTTCGTATTGGTCCTGGCACGATTTTCCGAGCCCTTGACGCAAACATCACTGGGTGCATACCTCTACTACCAATTGCAATCCTTTGATCCTTCTCTCTCGGAGTCAACGCTCTCGTACCAAGCAGGAATCATCGGCGCGACGTTTCCCGCCACTCAGTTCTTGACTGCAATTTTATGGGGTCGCTTTTCCGACTCCGAGTATGGCGGTCGCAAGCGGACCATTTACCTTGGTCTAGTAGGCACCATGCTGAGTACCATTGGCTTTGGATTCTCGCATAATTTTGCCATGGCGGTGTTCTTCCGGAGTCTGGGAGGGATAGTTAATGGGAATATTGGGGTCATGAGGACCATGATTAGTGAGATTATCAAGGAGAAGAAGTTTCAGAGTAGGGCGTTTTTGCTCATGCCTATGACGTTTAATGTTGGAGTGTTGATCGGACCCGTGTTGGGTAGGTGAAGTGTAAATGGGGTTTCATGGCACTGCTAACATGAGTAGGTGGTATACTTGCAGACCCCGTGGCCAACTATCCATCTCTGTTCGGACCAGAATCTACGTTTGGTGGCAAGCATGGCGTGCAATGGATGATGCGGTATCCGTATGCACTGCCCAATCTTGTTAGCGCCATGTTTTTATTTTTTTCATCATTAGCAGTTCTATTCTTCCTTGAGGAAACCGGCGAGCTCTGCAAAGACCGACCTGATTTTGGGCTTCGAATGGGACGCTGGATACGCCGGACAATATTCCGTCAGGACATCGCTTCTGAGCGAGGCTACAGCATTATCCCCAGCCATGACCTGGAACTACAGCAAACACCTACATCGCCTACTGTTCATCAAATTGATGAACCAAGCAAGCAGGTTCGCCAGCAACTTCCCTTCCGTCGCATCTGGACCCCCAACCTCATCATGACAATGCTCGCCCACGGCGCTCTCGCCATGCATGTAAGCACCTTCAACGGCCTCTGGACCCTGCACCTCTCCACCTCACGCTTCGACTCCGAGCATCCTTACCCCCCATCTTTCAAACCCCACGGCCTCTTCTTCACCGGCGGCCTTGGTATGCCTCCCTCGCGCATCGGCCTTGCCCTCGCCATCATCGGCATCATCGGTCTCCCCCTTCAAATCTTCGTCTACCCGAAAATCGCCCACAGGCTTGGCACTACAAACTCGTTCCGCATCTTTACCGCTTTTTTCCCACTCATGTACTTTGTCACCCCTTTTTTGAGTCTGGTGCCTAGCTGGACGCCGCCGCCACTTGGTGTCTCCGGACCGTGGATTTGGATCGCGATTACAGCCGCGTTGTCGATTCAGGTCTTAGCTCGCACGTTTGCGCTGCCATGCACGGCGATTTTGATTAATAATGCGAGTCCGCATCCATCAGTGTTGGGGACGGTACATGGGATTGGGCAGTCAGTGTCGAGTCTTACGCGGACGTTTGGGCCGGTTTTCTTTAGTTGGTTGTTTGGAAAGGGATTGGAGAGGGGGATGGTTGGGTTGGCGTGGTGGTGTATGGGGCTTGTGGCTGTGGGTGGATGGGTGCTTGCGCAGGGGGTGAGGGAGGGGGATGGGCATGAGATTTTGCTTGAAGGGGAGAGGAAGGAGGGGGAGTAAGATTGATCATCATTTTTTTGCATAGAGGGGTGTTTGCATCTTTGACGATAGTTAGAGAACTTTGAATTCGTGATATTCGCTTTCTAGAAGAAAAATAAGTTTTTTTTTCAACTGGATTAGTTTACTTGGACACGTGAAGTCAAAACAATATGTGTATCGTCCTCCCGCACCCCCACGCATGAGATTGCGCTATCCATCTGCAAGATGTGACAAACTTTGGTCAAACTGGGAGCGCGGACGAACTCAAATAGTCTGCTTACCCAGCTTACGTAATAGGTAGGTTTATGGTGGCTGGTCGTGGCGGTTTTTTTCAAGTTGACAGTTTTGATACATAGTTTACAGAGATGTGGATTTTTCCCGTTTGCATTTCACCATGTCCTAGAGTTTCTTTTGCTTGTACAACTGTCCTCGTCGGGTTTTTGATGGAAGAAAACGTAGTTAAAATGTAGTGTAAAGTGGAAGCAAATTTGTTTAAAATGTAGTGTAACTTAGTCAGTGCGTGAAAGCGCAGATCCGATCCGTGCACATCGCACTGGATCGCTAGATTTTCGATGAAAGCAAATGCGTTTAAACGCAGTGTAACTCAGTCATCTTTGCATTCTTGGCTTCCTGTTTGCTGCCGGAAATAACAAATTCGACCGGCACGTATCGGGTCGGGTCGTTGGACTTATTAGTGCCGATTTATCACTTTTTTCTTCAATAAAAGTAACTTTCCCACATAAATGTACACAGGCCATCTCATCGCATTCTCTTTTCTAGACGAAACAAGAGATGCATGATCCTTAAGACGACATCGCAGCTGTTATCTCTATTGGGAAGTAAACAGGCGGAAAATCATGAGTCCATCTCCACTTTCGATATCAGCTACAGTAATCAAAAACATGGCCTCGTGCTTACTACACATGCTAGATAAAGCATGAGAACCAGCGCCTATCTCGACAAGACCCTACAACGTCGTCATGCCGAGGAAGCAAACAATGACCCTATGGAGATGAAACAAGCTCCATTCAACCGATCCTGACATAGTAATACTGACTCATCTCTTTTTACATTTTGATCCCTACGATAATGGGTGGTCAGCACCAGACACAAGCGTAACCTCGGCGTCCAAACTATGCGCCCTCAGAAAAGAATACTACCCCGCAGTAACCCCGCAAGCAGTACCACGATCTACAAACCTCGTGATTGGGCAACTCACGCTTCCCATACGCAATGCGTCTCCATTTACAAGCCGAAAATCCACTTAGCCCACTGCATGAACCGAATTCGGCGTGGTGGTGATGCTGAGGCGGGGAATACGTATGGGGATTTGTGCGGCTAACGGATGTTCCAGACGATGGTGCCTTGTCGATCGGATAAGGGGACATTATAAATACTGCCCTAAATCATGTTGAAATGCGGATTACACGGAAGTGGCAGGTCTACGTAGCCGGTGCTTTGTATCATTTGAATATCAAGTTTATATTCCGCTTCGGGTGTACCGAATCGTTCCTATCTCCGACGTAAAAGACACCCGATTCGTTTTTAGACACATAGAATTACCTTTATAAACTGGAAGCGGCTTTATCATACTTACTATTTGAAAATGGCACCAGATCTCAATGGTGTAGCCAACGGCGCGCGGTGGGACTACTCAACCCCGGGATCAAGTGGATACAACGTTCCGGACATTGTCTACAATGTAAGTCTAACGTGTATTTCCATACAAAATGACTAAGATATTGATGGCAAATAGGACCCCTCAACGCGCAAGTTAAGAGTCTTGACCGTTGGTGCTGGACTGGCCGGCATACAATTGGCGTACCATTTGCAGAAGTCGACGCAAAATGTAGAACACGTAATTTACGAGAAGAATGCAGGCATTGGAGGCACATGGCTCGAGAACAGATATCCAGGTACGCTTCACGAAGAGAATGCTCGTATACAGGGAAGTAATTATTGTGGCAGGATGCGCATGCGACATCCCCTCACACGCCTACACCCTCAACTTTGCACTGAACACGGACTGGCCCCGCTTCTTCTCCTACGCTCCCGATATCCTCAAGTACCTCGAGAAAGTCTGTGATGTATTCGGTCTACGCAAGTATATGACGTTCAATACCGAAGTGGTGCGAGCAGAGTGGCAGGACGAAGCTGGAAAGTGGAAAGTCAGATTGCGACAGAAGAGCCCTTCGGGCGAGGAGCGAGAATTCGAAGACGAATGCGATCTCCTGCTGTACGCCTCGGGAATTCTGAATAACTATAAGTGGCCGGGTATCAAGGGTATCAATAGCTTCAAGGGACGCATAGCACATACGGCGGCTTGGCCGCAGGACTACCAGGCCGAACAATAGAAAAACGATCGCGTGGCTGTTATAGGCTCTGGTGCTTTGTCAGTCCAGACTGTACCCACCATGCAACCGCACGTCAAGCACATGGATGTTTTCGTCCGCACAGGCGTGTGGTTCGTCCAGATTGCGAACAACTTCGGTCAGAATAAGGAGTACTCAGAGGAAGAACGCGAAGAGTTTCGCCGGGACCCACGTAAACTGGTGGCGCATGCTAAGGATATTGAAGACCAAATCAATGGGCTTTGGGGCACTTTTTATACGGGCCACGAGCTGCAGAAGCAGGTGCAGGATATGCTCCGGGAACGAATGAAGGAGCATATCAAAGACGAGCGGTTGTTGAAGGGTTTTACGCCAAAATTCGAGGTGGGATGTAAGTTACTCGGTGGATACCTACAGAATCGTATGAATGCTAATATAATTTTCAGGCCGCAGAATCACGCCAGGCGACCCATACATGAAAGCCATCCAAGAACCCAACGTCGACGTACACTTCACAGCCGTCGACGAGATAACCGAAAAGGGTGTCATTGGGGCTGACGGCATCAAGCGAGAAGTCGACACGATAGTCTGCGCAACAGGCTTTGATGTGACCTACCGCCCGCGCTTCCCCATCATCGGCAAAAACGGCGTGGACCTGGCCGAAAAATGGAAAGACGAACCAAAAGGCTACCTCGGCCTCGCATGTCCAGACATGCCCAATTGGCTCATGTATATCGGACCCACGTGGCCTGTAGAGAATGGATCAGTGACTGGTCCGTTACTCGCCGTCACAGAGTACACAGTGAAAATCATCAAGAAGATGCAGCGCGAACATATCAAGTCATGGGTGCCTCGTCAAGACATCAGCGACCAGTTCAACGACCACGCGCAGGAATGGATCAAGCATACAGTCTGGAAAGGCGAGTGTCGCTCTTGGTACAAGAACAACGACACTGGCCGCGTCAACGCCGTGTGGCCCGGTTCATCGAATCACTACATCGAAGTCATCGAGACGCCGCGGTATGAAGACTTTGACATTGAGTATCTGCATAAGAATCCCTGGGCGCATTTGGGAATGGGGTATGCGATGTGCAATGCCCGGTTTCCCAACAGCGATGTTAGTCCGTATTTGCAGCTGGAGAATATTGATCCGGAGTGGGCCAAGGCGATTGGATATCAGGGGGCGGCAAAGGAAGTCGACGAGGTGAGGCAGGAGAAGCAGGAGCCTGTCGTGGAGAAATAAGAGACGGCTGCGGGTGCTGGGGTGGGAAATGGGCACACGTTAACGTGAGAGGATGAGTGTAAAAGTTAGGATTTGGGCTACTGTCAATACCACTAGATTGAAAGGGGGAGATTATCGGTTACCTTTGTGATGAGTACCAGGTTGTTTTGCCTGTATCGATGGTGATCTCCCACGTCATGTGACGTTTACCTTACTCCATCATGACCTAGCAAACACCACAGCAAGTACAGTTCAGACCAAAGCGCCAAGGCAAATCAATCTCATATTGCTTTTTGCCCCTTCTCTACCCCGCAAACCCCTTCAATCACCCCAAGTCCATGCGTCACTTCATCGGAGACCAAAAAAACGCAGGTACCACGCGTGCAATACCCCTCGGGTATATTATTTTTTCGATCTCCGCCGCGCCATCGTATCCCAAGCCCTTGAACCACCTTCCCGGGACCTTCCCTCTAACCCGCTAAAATTACCATGTGCAAACAGAGAGCACCAATGCATGTCATTCGCAGACCAGGATAAGCCAGACAGCAAAACAAATCTCAAAATCGACGCGGGGAAGCCAGCATCTTCGAACCCGCAACCAAGCATATCCCAGCCTCACGTCAAAATGGCGACGTTGATAAACGCCACTAAGCGCACCACCACCCCGCCATAGTCGGAAAAAGAAACGGTGGAGCCCGCTTACTTACTTTACTCGAACCCACCCCTGACTCTCCCTTCTTCCCCGCGCCATCTCCACCCAATCAGCAGCCGAGTGCGTATCTTTGTGCTTTCGCTCGCCGATACGATCCCGACTACAATGCCCCCGACGCTTTTCAGCGCAGACGACGCTCGTCCCCCTTCCCCAAACTCGCACTACTACTATATCAATCCACTACTACTATGGAAGGAAAGAAGCGACAGGCCCACACTACCGGACCAATCCCTCCGCGCATCATTCTGCACGGCGGCGCAGGAAACATCACGCGTGCATCCCTGCCACGCGGTGCGTACGACGAGTACCGCAGTTCGCTGCTGCGCATTGTAGATGCTGCCGCGCGCAAGCTGGCGGAACCGGGGGCCACGGCGCTCGACGTCGCGACGTATGCGGTTGCGCTGCTGGAAGAAGATGCGTTGTATAATTCTGCTCACGGCGCCGTGTTTACGCGCGGAGGCAAGAACGAACTTGAGGCTAGTGTGATGGTGTCGGATGGGTATAGGAAGAAGGGCGTGGGATGTACGTTGTTGACCCGGGTGAGGAATCCGATTAAGCTGGCGCGGAAACTGCTGGTGCGTGGGGAGGAGGTGGATGGGGGCGGTGGAGCGGGGGATCATTGTTTTTATAGTGGCGAGGTGGCCGAGGGGCTGGCAAGGAAATGGGGATTGGACATGGTGGAGCCGAGTTGGTTTTTTACGCAGAGGAGGTGGGATGAGCATTTGAGGGGGTTGGAGGAGGAGAAGGAGGGGAAGATGGCAGGGGGTGTAGGGGTGCAAGGGACGAGCGAGTGGGAGAAGAGTCATTATGTTCCGCTGGGGACTTGCGGTGCGGTTGTTGTGGACAGCTATGGGACTATTTGTACTGCTACGTCTACAGGGGGCTTGACAAACAAGGTTGATGGGCGCGTTGGCGACACACCAACCATAGGAGCTGGGTTCTGGGCTGAAGAGTGGTATGAAGATGCTGCTGCTGCTGCTGCTGCTGCAAAGATGCTGTATCAGCCTGTCTCGCAGGCCGTGGCACCGATAGACAAGCTCTCCAGAGGCGACCTGCACGGTGCGCTCGACGGCTGTCTGCCAATACTTGGCTCGTCTTCTTCAAGACAAACTGCACCAATGCCAAGTCAAGACAATAAAGAACCTACTCCCATCCGCCATGCCGTGGCTCTTTCAGGGACCGGCAATGGCGACTCCTTCCTCCGCACATCTGCCGCTCGAACAACAGCGGCCAAATCTCGCTTTTCTTCGCAATCTCTCAGCGACGCAACCACATGGATGGCCGGCCGCGGTGGTGAACTCCAAAAAAGTGCCGGCAACCGATGGGACGGAGTCCACGAAGGTGTCGGCGGAATCATAGGTATCGAGCTTGTTGGGAATAGAGTACAAGTCGTCCAGGACTACAATTGCGGCGGCATGTTCCGCGCCTGGACGGAGGAGAATGGAAGTCGCAAGTGTTTAATCTTTAGAGAAGACAGGTGGGAGAGCGGACCGCACAGTTGGCAGGATATCTGAAACGAGCATTTGTGTTGTCGGACCGTTAATGATGATGATAAAGTATATGGTATATTTCCGGCATTGCCGAATAACAAGGATTACACTGGATCGTCTACAGACTTTTGTTGACGATCTGTCAAGTTGATCGTGTCGGATTGATTTGATCGAGAGTCTTTTCCAGAGTTCGTGACGGTATATCCCGTCGACTGCCATTTGAAGCCATAGCCAAGCCATTTTGCGAAATGCGGAAAGGTTGGGAAAGCGCCGCAGAGGAGAAGTGCGGAAATCTCAATGATGGCGCAGACTGCGACAATGGCAAGCCAGTATGTATTGTCTTTGCTGTCGAGGTGGAGGATGGTGTAGTGGAGTCGGACTGCACTGCTTACGCATGCGCTAGTGCGATGGTTAGTTTTACTACTTCCTCACATATGACGAAAATGACTTACAGAAGCGCAGCTCCAAAGATGCCAGAGACGGCAATCTTCTTCTTGATGCTCATTTGTAGGCGTGAGACGGCGTAGATGGGAAGGAACAAAAGAGCAACGTCAGTCACTAGGTTGATGATACCGCTCAGGAGACTCGGGCCAGCATGAGTAGGGAGGCACGTTCCTGGGATGAATGGGTCCCACTTCTTCTTTATGGGATTACAGGGGAAGATCCAGGTGAACAGGCTTGCGGTATAGACGCAGCTGAAGGAGGCGATGCAAGCCCAAGTTGACCAGAACATGAAGTCTCACGACTTGCTGTCGAAGGTGGACTTGATCTGAAGAAGCACACCCAGCTTTGTGGTGTACATGGCGATGCAGTAGACGATTTGGACCCAGTAGGCGCGGCGTAGAGCACGCATAGCCTCGCCGACAGTGACATTCCATTGATGCTTGCCAAAGCCCATACTGATGCTGTCCAGGGTGACGGAAACAAAAGCAAAGTACGTGACTGCTGCGGCAATCATGACCGCGTCGTCGAAGATGAAGAGTCTGGTGAGATAGGCTCTGGTGAAGATGCGGATCATCATGGCGATTCCGGTGAGGGCGAAGCAAACGATGAAAATTGGCAGTCCCCAGGGCCAGATGGTAGGGGCATTGGGATCGAGTGGCATTTCGCCTGTTGGCGGCATGAGGGCTGGACAGGCGGGATCAGGCCGCTCCGCGCCTAGGCACTTGACAAGCATTTCCAGCAGTTCCATAGTGACAATGATAGCTGTGCCGTCGGGGAGAGGCAAAGAATGCTGTTTGAGAAAGATGATGTCCGAGTCGAAAGCAGGCCATGGCGACAGTGACCAGCCATATACATAGTCTAGGTGAAGAGCAAAAACACTAGCAGTAGCCCAGAGTCAATTTGAAAGCACCAGTCTTCTACGCTGGTGCCGCGCCATGCTGGTGCGACAATGGACATGGTTAGTAGACAGGATGGCATGGCGAGTTGATGAGACTAGTGAACTGTGGCGTGCGGGTCGGGCTGCAAGGGACCACTAGGAATATTTACGCGCAACAGGGGCGGGAAGCCTTTGTTGAGAGGCGCTTCATAGTCGCACTCGGAGCGTTTTCCCAACGACCGGCTGTCATTTGTATCTACTGGCTGAATGCCGAATCTGACGGACGACAGTGGTGGTGCTTGTTAGTGGGTGGTTGTCTGAAATCAATGCATTACAGTAGGTTTCTTCGAGCTCCAGAATGGTCACGGACAGCAGGCTGGCGGTTCTACACAATACAACTGGGTGGTAGTACTATTTCGGGCACTGGTCGGCGGGCTGCTTGGTGGTAGAGGCGAGGACATAGTCGCGCGATGCTACCGAAAGGCGCTCCTCCGTCGTTGATCGGCGGGTAGCGTGGTGGGGATGCAGGTCAGGGTGCCACGAGGTAGCAACGGGATGCATAACTAGAGCGAGGCGCGTCGCGCATCCTGCTGTATACAAACATGTGGCTTTTGGGTGTGCGCAGTGTTCAGGTGGTTGGGTGGACAGGATGGATTGGGCGAAGAAGATGCAGGCCAAGCAAAGGCAGAGAGAGGACGCGTCGGATGTCGGATCGGACGATGGCGACTCAGCCACACTACTATGACATGGTCCCCCGCGCTGACCCGCCATGTTCCTGCCGCCTGCTCCAGCACCGCATCAACTGCGCGCTCTCTTCTACTCTTCCACACATACCCTCCATTCACCGCTAGCAGCGCCTCTTTTCCTGACTGCCGCTCCGCAGAGAGCACACTACCGCCGCCATGGGCTTTAGTCTCAACAACCCGCTGCCATCGTCCATGGCCAGTAAGTCATGGGCTCTGTTGCTGTTTCGGCTAGTGACGTCGCTGATACAATCTTCTCTACAGGCGAATGTCGCAAGACGGGAAAGATCCTGGCCTCTTTTGTCGACCCGCGACAGGCCTTTGGGCCCGACAAGATCATCCCGCCAAACGTGCTTGCAAATGCAAAGGTAAAGTCTTCTACTAGTTTCGCCTGTGCTATGCGATCCGCTTGGCCGCTTGGGCTGCACAACCCCTCGTACTGACTGAATATGCTCCGTAGGGCCTCGCCATCCTCACCGTTTTCAAGGCTGGCTTTCTCGGCACTGCGCGATTCGGTTCCGGCGTCGTCGTCGCACGTCTCGCCGACGGATCATGGTCGGCGCCTACAGCTATCGGAACTATTGGAGGCGGCTTTGGCGGACAGATCGGCTTTGAGCTCACTGACTTCGTCTTTATCCTCAACGATGCCTCCGCCGTGCGAACATTTGCTCAGGCTGGTTCGCTTACATTGGGAGGCAACGTCTCCATTGCCGCGGGACCGGTTGGTCGCAATGCCGAAGCTGCCGGCGCAGCCAGCTTGAAGGGCGTGGCAGGCATTTTCAGCTACAGCAAGACAAAAGGCTTGTTTGCGGGAGTTAGTCTTGAGGGTAGTGGTATAATCGAGCGTAGAGACGCCAATGAGAAGCTGTACGGACGCCGGTGGACTGCCAGGGAAATCCTGAGCGGCCAAGTCCCTCCGCCACCAGCTGCTGAGCCGCTCTTGCGCGTCCTCAACTCCAGGGTATTTTCCGGTGTAGGAGGAGCGCAGAACGTCACCAATGATGCCATGTACAACGATATTCCTGTTTATGATGATGCACACGACAATGTGGTTTGGCAGGGCCGCCGCGGCTCTGCCATGGGTGAAGGTGTACGACGAGATCGTACTGGCTCAATGGGCTCACACCATGACAACTACCAGTACAGAGATCACCAGCAAACCTCTTCTTGGGCAGACGATGTCTACGACCGACAGCCATCATCCGCACCTGGTGGTCTCAACCGCTCATACTCTACTCGAGCAAACCCTACCGAGACCTTTGATCGCATCGACTCACGGAACCGCGCCTCGACGTTTGGCGATGACTACTATTCGTACAGTGATCGCAAACCGGGAAGGCCCTCTGCCCCGAAGCCGGTCTTTGGCCAGACCACTGGACAGAAGAAGGCGAACCTGCAATCCGACCAAGCCATAGCAAAATTCACCTTTGATGCTGATCAACCGGGCGATCTCGGCTTCAAGAAGGGTGAAGTCATCACTATTATCAAGCGCACCGACAACGAAACCGATTGGTGGACAGGTCGCATAGGGAATAGGGAAGGCATCTTCCCAAGGTACGTCTTGGCTTTGCTCGCTACAACCTTGTATGTTTGCTGACTTCCAAAAGTAACTATGTCGAGACCGTGTAGACGATGGCATGGATAAATCGCACATCTAGTCCATCTGTTCATCGGTGAAGATGATGTCTGAAAGTTTTGCAAATTGTCATGGCTTTCTAAAGCAGTTACTGCAATTTTGTCGCCCGCGCATGAAGAGAGTCGTGCCGTCTGTACATACGCATATACCTCTCCCGTCTCCTGTACTACTCTTTCCTTACCGTTTTTGTCCGCAGATACCTTTGTAGCGTACTCTAGCATCGAGCTTATTTACTTCTGATAGATGAACCCAAAGAAACCATCAAAGTTACCTCCCGTCATGTGCAGTCGTTTGCTGGTCAGTTGCTACAGGCTAGCCTTGTGCATCTGGAAACTCTGTTGCCTAGCTGCAGATCTAGTCCTCGGTAGACAATAGCCGCTCATGGGCTTCTATTGGAACACTCAACGAAGAACACCGCATGGTTGGTCGGTACAAAAACTCTACTATGATTGGCCTGATAAACTGCCGACATGTCATGAATCGCTCCATGTCAAACCTAAATGGTAACTAAATAAGCCTCAAGCGACGAACCCAAGCATTGGCTTTTTTTGCCTTACCCCGACTCTTAGTTTGTTTACTCCGATTTGGTAGTAGGCTGATGCTGCTCCTAGCGGAATCCACACCGGCACGCGGCATGTCGATAGGCGAGAATTTAGTGGAGGCACAAAACCCCTAATTGGTTTGAGCAGAGACGAGTGCGAGTAGGGAAAAAAAGAGGGAAGTATTGTCCCCTTTGGGTCCACATGGTATGATCTGCCTGAATGGCACAGTGAATGCTAGCACATCGTGGCTTTGTTTGATTTTTTTTTAATTCATTTCCTCTTCAGTCCGGCATTCTTGAGTAAAGTTTTGCATACCACACGTGCAGAGTACATTTCCCCCAATTCCCCCATATACCTCCGTATTTCTCGCCCGTCAGACGGACCGCTCGTTCCTGTTCTGCAGCCCACCCGTCAGGTACAATCCAACCCTGTTTTTTTTGGTCCTAGTGTACACTTGCTTTCCTCGTATAAACCACAAGATTTGAAACATATGTTTCCACGCCCAATCGCCCCCTCCCACCCATCCCAAAGTGTGGTTTTTTTTACATCATTTATACTATTCACCAACCAACCAAAAAAATACAACGCCAAAGTGGGGAACACAAAAGATGTGGCTGCCAATAGGAGTTCTGCCATCCCGTATTTCCTGTGCCGATCACCCACAAGCGCCGCTTGGACTCTCCTGTGCAGCACCTCGTTTTACAACGCTACATGGCACAAGTTATGTGTGTGTGTGTGTGTGGGGGGGGGGCGGTAAAATGAAGATCAGGCACTTCTTCGGATGATAAACCATATTTACTAACGTGCTCCACCAGTGAGCTGCGCACCCCACCAAACTCAACCCGACGCTCAGCACTATTAAGCTATAACGACGTAATTAAATTAAATAAAACTTAGAGATGTAATTGCTTATTTAGCTCTGCATAAAGTCCGAGTAACGTGCGGGATCAGTAAGTGGGCCGGATCAGTTAGTGGGCCACCCCACCCAACCTGAC